ATTATTTAAATTAATAAAAAAAAAAAAATTATTTTATAATTCAAATGAATGGATAATTTAAGAACACACGTTTCTACTGGACGAATAGCATCAGCAAAGCTGCGTGCGGGAGAGAGGCTGTATCAGGCGTCGCTGAACGGACACCTCGTTGCCATGGCGACGGCGCTGGCCGATGGTGCGGAAGTGAACTGGAGTGATCCTGACCGGGAGGGACGGACGGCTCTGATTGGTTCAGCCATCGGGGTGAGTGACAGCGGCCTCCCGGAGTCTGAAGGATGTTAAAGGGATGATGAACTCACCGTGAAGTCATCGTAGGTGTGTATGACTTTCTTCTTTCAGACGAACACAATCAGAGTTATATTAAAAAATGTAACCCTAACCTAACCCAAGTCGATAAAGTTTATTTAAAACTTTTATGATGGACAGATGCACTTTTTATGATGGACAGATGCACTTTTATGATGGATAGATGCACTTTTATGATGGATAGATGCACTTTTATGATGATAGATGCACTTTTATGATGGATAGATGCACTTTTATGATGGATAGATGCACTTTTATGATGGTTAGATGCACTTTTATGATGGATAGATGCACTTTTATGATGGTTAGATGCACTTTTATGATGGATAGATGCACTTTTATGATGTTAGATGCACTTTTATGATGGATATATGCACTTTTATGATGGACAGATGCACTTTTATGATGATGGATGCACTTTTATGATGGACAGATGCACTTTTATGATGGACAGATGCACTTTTATGATGATAGATGCACTTTTATGATGGACAGATGCACTTTTATGATGGACAGATGCACTTTTATGATGGAGAGATGCACTTTTATGATGGACAGATGCACTTTTATGATGTTAGATGCACTTTTATGATGGACAGATGCACTTTTATGATGTTAGATGCACTTTTATGATGGACAGATGCACTTTTATGATGTTAGATGCACTTTTATGATGGACAGATGCACTTTTATGATGGACAGATGCACTTTTATGATGGATAGATGCACTTTTATGATGGACAGATGCACTTTTATGATGATAGATGCACTTTTATGATGGACAGATGCACTTTTATGATGGACAGATGCACTTTTATGATGTTAGATGCACTTTTATGATGGACAGATGCACTTTTATGATGATAGATGCACTTTTATGATGGACAGATGCACTTTTATGATAGTTAGATGCACTTTTAAGGACTTAAAAACAGAATCAGCATTCACTGCCATTATAAAGCTTGGAAGAGCCAGAACATTTTCTAATATAACTCTGATTGTGTTCGTCTGAAAGAAGAAAGTCATACACACCTAGCATGACTTCAGGGTGAGTAAATCATGGGCTAATTGTCATTTTTTGGGAGAACTATCCCTTTAAATGTGTGTGATTCTGGTCTTCATTGGTGTGTGTGTGTGTGTGTGTGTGTGGCAGGGCTCTCTGCTGGCGTGTGAGTTTCTGCTACAGAACGGCTCTAATGTGAATCACAGAGATCAGCACGGTCAGGGCGCTCTTCACGCCGCCGCCACATACGGACACACCGGGTAACAAACATCATGTCTCGATCACACACTCATCGTGACTGATGTATGATGATTATAATAATCTGTGATTGGTCACTTCAGACAGGTGTGTCTGCTGCTCAAGAGAGGAGCCAATCAGTACGCAGCTGACGAAAAGGGAAACGATCCGCTCAGTATCGCCATAGAAACCGCCCACGCTGACATCGTCACTTTGTGAGTAATCAGTGTGTGTGTGTGTGTGTGTGTCAGAAATCATAATAATGCATTGTGTGTGTGTGTGTTTCAGGTTGAGAATGGCCCGAATGAATGAGGAAATGAGGGATTCAGAGGGATTCTTCGGATCTGTTGGTAAGATTTAGGATGGATTAATATGAATATAAAGTTATATTTGAAATAGAATCTTTTGTAACATTATAAATGTCTTTATTGTCACTCAGGAGACGATGAAACTTTCCAGGATATTTTCCGAGATTTCAGCAACATGGCGTCACACGACCCAGAGAGACTCTCTCGCCGCCAGTTCGTCCGCAGCTGTGAGGAGGACGAAGAGGAGAAAAGCTAGTCATGGGTCACGTGAGGTCAGAGGTCACGCTGATGCACTATGGGACAAGGGAACAAAACGCAAATCTTAATGTTACAACTCTTAACGTGACTCTGAGTGTGTGTGTGTGAGCATCAATGTGACTGTTTTAATGAGTCCGACTCATTTCATCCACACATATGAACTGACGCCATTTTAGCCCGTTGGTTTTACTGAAGGCTTTTGACATGTACGTTTGTGAACTATTTTATGTTGTGCTGCAGTGAAATACGGAGGTTGTACTACAGTAAATACAGTGGTTGTTTTGGATAAGTCAGCATGAAACCAAAAGTGACCTTACTTTCCCGTCTGGGTCTCTTCGGTCGGAAAAAATACAGAAAAAAGTTTGCTTCATCAGATTTGGATGACACTTGGTGACTTTTGTCGCATTAGCTATGTGAACACGCACAAAAAAAAAATAATGGACGTGATTTGGGGGAAAGAAAGTCACACTTGGCTCTTTCACGGTCAAAAATGGCCGACATACTGTAGGAAATGAGTGGGAAATACAAAAAAAACTACAAATCAGCCACTGTGCAGAACAAAAGTGCACTAGAATCATCACTATCCATTCCTTAATTTATTAGATTTGTTTATCAAATATGGAGTAACAAAAATGCTTTCCATGTACAAAGTGTTTGATTGTAATTATAATGCAAAATCTGATATTTATGTAAAAGAAATATCTAAACCTTGAACACGTGAAAAACGTGAAAAATGAGAAAATCGTGCATTTATTTCAGTAATTCAACTTAAAAGGTGAAACTTATATATTAAATAGACTCATTACATGCAAAGTAAACTTTGTTTATAATTATATTTACTTATATATGTTATTAAATAACAAGCCTTTATGATTATGGCTTTAACCCCAAATTCTAAACTAGAATATTGTGAAAAGGTTTTCATAAACTGTAAGCCATAATCATTAAAATTATAACAAATAAAGGATTGTAATATCTCACTTTGCATGTAATGAGTCTATAATATATTAGTTTCACCTTTTAAGTTGAATTACTGAAATAAATGAACTTTTGCACGATATTTAAAATTTTTTTGAGTTTCACCCGTATATCTAAATGCAAAACCTAATAAAAGTAAGAAATTATGTCTAAAAAAACAACAACAGGAGTCCAAAAGCCTCTTTATATATATGTATTATATAGGAAGCTACAGGTTTCACAACATTACTTTTAAAAACTATTTTACTTCCAAAAAAAAAAAAAAAAAAAAAAGATTGTAGAGTAGAGGCCTTTAGTCTATTTCAATGTGAAATATAGCATTTATTGAAAAATAACAACAACAAAAATATTTATTTTAATTTAAAAAATAGGTAATAAAATTGTTTATAAATATTGCATAGTGTCATAAAATCACCTCAATTCTAAAAAAAATTATCGTGCTAAAATATATTACATTGATTCTCTGAGGGAAAAAAAGGTTACAGTGAAGGTTCAGTCACGTTTGACCGGGAAGGAGCCAAATGTGAGCCGTAAGAGAAGAGGAGCGGAGGGTGAACGGCACTTCCTATAGAACATCTTTCACATCTCTAATGCTTTACGTGTCATAATCCCCTGTCACATGACACTTTTTTTCATCATCCATTCCAAACAATCAAACCATGTCCCAGATTTATTTGGTAACACTTCCATATGTTAGCTACATTAGTTAACATGTACTGTAATGTTCATGTTCATTTCAACATTATTTAAATCTGTTAATAATATTGGTAACACTTTACAATAAGGTTTCATTTTAACGTTCGTTAATGCATTAACTTACCATGAGCAATGCATTTGTTACAGTGTTTGTGTTAATAAAAATACAGCTGTTCATGTTAAATCACAGTGCAGTAACAAATGTTAACCAATACAACTATAAGTAGATGTTGAAATGAACATTAACTGAGATTAATAAATACTGCAGCATTGTTAGTTAATAACCTTATTGTAAAGTGTAAGACCTTATTTTGTCTCAAGGATCCAGTAATGTGTTTCATTTTGACTGTTATGCACACTGAATAAAATTACATACAATTAACATGTGATGATACACAATATATTAATATCAATGTTGATGTCTTAAAAATGTATGTCTTATTCTATAATAATAAACAAGCTATTTAACTATTAAAACGTACCGTCTGTTTATGACATAGACGAAAAAATACACAAGTCCTGTGATGTTTTTAATGTGATGTTTTTTTTAAATAACATTTATTTTAAAAAATAACATTAAAGCATCTTAAAAGTGAAAATATCAACAAAATATATGTTTGTCTCTGCATTTTTCATTATTTTGATGTTACAGTACAAAATTGTAAGTAGCTGTAAATATCAGAGAAAATATTTCCCATTGAGAAAAACATTACTATAAGAAGTAGAAATTAAAGTTTAACATCGAATCGATAATAAAAAGCTTGAAACAACTGATTATTATCTTCACTTATCAAATACAATATTTTCCCAAAATAAAAATATCATCCAAGCTTTTTTGTTGTTGTGTAGTTTTGTTAATATATTTAATTCATTTATTTATGTACTATATCAAATCCTTTCATATTGACATCAAGCACACTGAACAAATAAATTAATTTAAATTTAAATATGTAAACAATCACGAGTCTCAACAGACATGGTTTTATTTTTTAAATCAGAAGTTGGCAAATTACACGAAATGATAACAATCACTATTAAATATTTTAGCTATTAAATAAGAAATCGATCGAACGATTGTGCAATCTTCGTGATAAGCACTCTATGAAATGGAAATTGGAAATATATTTGATTTATGATTAGATCAGATTAGATTAAAAAAACGCGCGCTTACTATGACCCGCCCCTGAAATGATGACGTTTTGACTGACGTAATTTCAAAGCGCCGGGGCGCACACACACGCATCCGTTGATTGTGCGACGACACCACCATTTTAGAGGAAGAATGGAAAACACGGACAGTTATTGACCATCATTAATACGTCGAAACTATAATTAATAAGAGCCCATGTTAAAGACTCGGACATATTGAAGATTTCCGCGGGATAACAGAAGATCCGGGTTTTGATACTGCAGTACCGGCGCGGATCTGACATCACTCCAGACTCTGTTCTGGGTGTATTGTTGTTATTCGTCTGTCTGTGTGTGTGTGTGTGAGAGAGAGTGTGTGTTCAAGTGAAATTGAAGAAACGCGGTTCCGTCCAGATGGATGGAGACGAGGAGATCCGCTCAGGTACAACCAGAACACACTGTTTTGATTCCAGACAATTACGAAACACTAACATGCTAACATGCTTAGCATAGCATGGTGTTTGAGTACAGTACACGAGCATTACCATATAATTCATCAAAGTACCATGATATTTTCATGTTTTTTGGGCATGTACCATGGTAATGCCATGCATTTGGACATATACCACGGTAACACCATGGTATTCTTAGTATGTCATGGAGTTTGATTATAATGCGCATGCGTTATCAGAAAATTCATCAAAGTACCATGATATGTGCATTTTTTGGACATGTACTATGGTAATACTTAGGTATTCTTAGCATACCATTGTTTTTGAGTATTGTACACAATCATTATCGTATAATTCATCAAAGTACCACGATATGTTCATGTTTTTTAGACGTATACCATTGTAATGACATTCATTTGGACATACCATCATGGTAATCTTAGTATATCATGGTGTTTGAGTATAGTACACATACATTACCTTATAATTCATCATCATACTTTATTATTTTCATGTTTTCTTGGACAAATACCATGGTAATGGCATGTTTTTTTTTTAAATACCCTGGTGTATGAATATTTGTAGCTTGAACTGAGACTGAGTGTGTGTTTGCTCAGATGACGGCAGCGCTACTCCCGTTCAGGACGAGCAGGAAGACGCGAGACCCGGATCACGGCAGTCTGACGTGAGTTTGGATCCGATGTTTGTGTTTGGTTCCAGTTGTGTTCATATTACAGACGTTAACCCATTTGTGCCCAAATTTTTCTGAATGGTTTCATGCATATAGTCGTGTTAATAATGTCCTATGTGAACATGTTCTGCATTTATTTCCTCAAGTTTTTTTTTCTTCTTCTTGAAAATCGTATTTGAATGTTCGGCAACTATAGTTGCCGGTGGGCAAATATATTGTATGCACCCCATCAATGTTAAATATGAATAGGAGGAGAACATTTGGCATCTATCTCAAAATAACTGCTTTCAACAGATCAATCTTTATTCATAAACAAATTTATTGTGTATAAAAGTCGAAGAATGTTTGATGCGAACGCAAAAAAGCGGAATCTATAGCTTATAATGTCTTGAATATAAAAACACAACAAACAACAAACCCATTTGTCTTAAACATTGTGTGCTGTTTGGGGTCTTTTTGACCCACATTTCTAACTTTCATTAATGGGGATAACATGGATAATTTGACATGGTTTAGTGTAAGATTTTTGCCAATATTTTGGAAAATGCCATTTTAAAAGTAACAAATTATCACTTTAACCAGTAGATGGCTGCAGAGCTCCACTATTTGCAATTTGCTATTTGACTAAATGAAAGACATATTTTCACAAGTTTTTCCAGTTGTATTCATATCTAGATATTATGAAATCACAATTATAACAATAAAAGTAACTTTTTGTCGAAGTTTAGGCATTTTTTGTACTGGAAAAAAAATCTGTTTTTTAATAATGTTATAGAACCAAATGATTTTTGTCAATGGTCAAAATTCATCCTCAAAATCAGAAAGAACAGAAATTTGGTGGCACAATTTTTTTGAATTATATGAAAAACAGATGTTTGAAATAAATTATAAACTCTAAAGACTCCAACTTTTCTCTTTGTAACATCCTGATCAGGTTTGATTCTAATCATAATGTAACATTATTGAAAAACTGATTTTTTTCAGTACAAAAACTGCTAAACTTTGACAAAAAGTAACTTATATTGTTATAATTATGATTTCATAATATGTAGATATGCATATATCAAAAATGTAATTTGTTACAAATTACAACAAATTACATTTGTACAAAATTTGTTACAAAATTACATTTTGTTGCCTGGGGTATATGTATATATATATATATGTATATATATAAAACAAAAAAACAAATGACAAAATGGCAAAAAACTAAAATAACAGTGCATACAAGGGTAAAGTTATTAAACAAGTCCAATAACCTTGAATTATTAACACGGTATACCCCATTTTCCAATGATATATGTACTTACAAGGTATTTGCTCACCGGCAACTATAGTTGCCGCTTGCACTTTTGACTAAGTATACAAAAAACTATAGATCTATTGTAAGATTTGTTTTGTTTAGAGGATTCTAGAGACCTTCATTATTATCTAGATATATATATTTCAACAAAAAATACTTATTAGTAATATGAAAATTAGCTTTCGTTGGGAGGGTTTGCCTTCGCCATGCTTCCTGGAAGTAGGGGTAGGAAGTTGACAGCCTCATGTGACAGGAAGGAAGTGAATACTTTTTTTTTTTCTTGAAATCCTTTATTTGGTTGTTTCCTTGCATGACATTGAGACATACAACATGGATAACATCTATAAAAATACTTACACAAGGAAAATGACAACTATACACTGCGGCAACTATAGTTGCCGGTGGGCTTAAATGGGTTAACTCTCTGATTGTCACGCAGGAGGACGTCAGTGATAACGAGGACGCCGCACACGATAGGAAGTCTGAGAACGCAGACAGCAGTTCGGATCACGAGGCCCGTGGAAGAGGAGCCGGAGACGGGAGCGATTCAGAGCCCGAGCCGCCCCGTCCTGCAGACAGTGATGAGGAAGAGGAGGGCAGATCCCCTGTGAAGCGAAGAGCGAGCACCTCTGAGAACGAAGAGGAAGAGGAGGGCAGATCCCCTGTGAAGCGAAGAGCGAGCACCTCTGAGAACGATGAGGAAGAGGAGGGCAGATCCCCTGTGAAGCGAAGAGCGAGCACCTCTGAGAACGACGAGGAAGAGGAGGGCAGATCCCCTGTGAAGCGAAGAGCGAGCACCTCTGAGAACGATGAGGAAGAGGAGGAGAAAACGCACTCCGACCGGGAGGAACCCGAGAAGAGAAACAGCCCGAAATCAGAGGCGGGCAGCGATTCAGACGAGGACAAACCCAAACAGAAAACTCAGAGAGACTCTGATGCTGAGGAAGAGGAGGAGGGAGGGAGGAAGGAGACGGGCAAGTGGAAAGCTGTGATGAACTCGGACAGTGAGGAAGAGGAGGAGAGGCCGAAGGAGGAGGCGGGAAGTGATGAAGATGAAGGGCCTAAACGACGAGCTCTGGCTAGTGATGATGATGATAATGAAGAGGAGGAGAAGCCCGGTATGTTTGTTTACTAATAAAAAAACTTGTTTCATTATCATTTTTAATATACGTATGATTATTTAGGGTTATATTAATATTATACTTCTATTTTTGCTTACTATATTCTGCTTTTTATTTGTGTGTGTGTGTGTGTGTAGCTATATATTTTTTTATCTATTATTTATTACTATATTTTTCTACAGTCTAATTATAATAAAATTATCAATAGATTAATATATGTTTGAATTATATATATATTACATTAAATTATCAATACATTACATTCAAAATGATATTAATGTATTCATAATTTTAAATAATGTTATTATAATTAGACTGTGTAGTACAATGATAGATTAAATTATATTATGATTAATCTTGATTATTCTACTAATAATATATTTATAATGCCAATCCAATCAGATTATAATTAGGGCTGTGCAAAAATTAATTGCGATTAATCGCATCCAAAATAAAAGTCTGTGTTTACATAATATATTTGTGTGTGCTGTATATAATTATTTTGTATATATAAATACCTATGCATACATGTAAATATTTAAGAATTATTTGCGCTTAAATTCTGTATATATATATATATATATATATATATATATATATAAATACATAATCTAAATTATATAAATATAAATATTTTATATATGAATAACACATTTTCTTAAATATATACATGCATGTGTGTGTTTATATATATACAAAATAATTATATACAGCACACAAAAATATATTATGTAAACACAGACTTTTATTTTGGATGCGATTAATCGCAATTAATTTTTGCACAGCCCTAATTATAATATTATTTTATATATATATATATAATTTATAATATTAGTAGTATTATTTACATGTATTAAAAACTATTTAATTATTTATAATGTTATAATAATTTGACTATTATACTTAAAAGTACATATTTTATAATTATGTTGATTATAATCAATGATTGATTATTATAATCTTAATCTAATTCATTATATATATATATATATATATATATATATATATATATATAATCTGTTATAAATATTATCTGAAATATGATATTATAATTGTAATGCTAACTATAATACACTATTGTATTATATATTATTAATAATATATACATAATTATTTATACTCTTAGTAATACAATTTTAATGTTATTTTTACAATATTATTTTTATAGTCTAATAACTATAATACTAGTTTATTATAATAAATCCATAATCTATCAGTGGTGACGTTTTTTGTGATTTGTCTTCCAGTGAAGAGGAAGAAGGCCGTTCTGTCAGACAGTGAGGAAGATGAAGAGAAAGGTACTGTCTGTCATTAACGCTCACTGTATGATGTCATCTGATGATGATGATGATGATTGTTGTGACTCTGTAGAGGTGAAGAAGAGCAGGCTGGTGTCTGATGATGAAGACTCTGGCAGTGATGAAGGCTTTGGGGGTCCTGATAAGAGTTTAGCAGCTAAACTGAAGGAGCTGGGCTCGGACAGTGAGGATGAGGAGGATGCGATGAAGGCGGATGCAGGGAAGAAGGACGAGAAGGCTTTGTTCGGCAGCGACAGCGAATCCGGCGAAGACCAGGAAGAGTTAGTGATTGTAACACTCTGTGTGTGAGAGAGAGTGAGTGACTGAGTGAGTGTGTGGCCGAGTGAGTGAGTGTTTGGAGTGAGTGACTGAGTGAGTGAGGGTGTGTGTGGCCGAGTGAGTGAGTGAGTGACTGAGTGTGTGAGTGGCCGACTGAGTGAGTGAGTGAGTGTGTGATTGAGTGAGTGTGTGGCCGAGTGAGTGAGTGAGTGTTTGGAGTGAGTGACTGAGTGTGTGAGTGGCCGACTGAGTGAGTGACTGTGTGATTGAGTGAGTGAGTGAGTGAGTGAGTGAGTGTGTGACTGAGTGAGTGTGTGGCCGAGTGACTGAGTGAGTGAGTGTTTGGAGTGAGTGACTGAGTGTGTGAGTGGCCGACTGAGTGAGTGACTGTGTGATTGAGTGAGTGAGTGAGTGTGTGGCTGAGTGAGTGTGTGTGTGGCCGAGTGAGTGGGTGAGAGTGTGTGTGGCCGAGTGAGTGAGTGAGTGAGTGAGTGAGTGACTGAGTGTGTGAGTAGCCGACTGAGTGAGTGAGTGAGTGTGTGATTGAGTGTGTGGCCGAGCGAGTGAGTGAGTGAGTGTTTGGAGTGAATGACTGAGTGTGTGAGTGGCCGACTGAGTGACTGAGTGTGTGTGTGGCCGAGTGAGTGAGTGACTGAGTGTGTGTGTGGCCGAGTGACTGAGTGAGTGTGTGGCCGAGCGAGCGAGTGAGTGAGTGTTTGGAGTGAGTGAGTTTGGAGTGTGTGAGTGACCGAGTGAGTGAGTGAGTTAGTGACCGAGTGACAGAAGGTGTGAGAGAGAGAGTGTAACCGTCTCTTTCTGTCCCTCAGGAAAATGATCGCAGATATCTTCGGAGAGTCCGGCGATGAGGAAGAGGAGGAGTTTACCGTGAGTAAAGTTTCTCTCTTTACCATTAATCACGTCAGACTCGCATATGAAGAATTATCTCAAGTCTCATTTATTTCTGTAGCGCTGTGTATTCGTTTAGTTACAGTCTACGGAGATATAAACAGCAGCTGACATTCGCTGTCTAGTATATGTGACTGTACTGTGTGTGTGTGTGTGTTCAGGGCTTTAATCAGGATGAGCTGGAGGGCGAGCGGGCGCAGGCTCAGGTCTCGGGACAGAAGGAAATGGACAACGAGTCGGATTCAGATGATGATGATGTGGACCGAAGCGGGAAAGAGTGAGTGATTCCCTCCATCCGCTAATGTACAGTTGTTCAAAATTCATGTATAACTTTGTTGACTACTGTAGTAACAGCAAACAGGAAGTGATGTAAGAATGAAAGCATTTAGAATGTATTTTTGCCCATGGAGGAGATGTAAGTGTGTGTGTGTGTGTGTGTTTCAGCATGTCTCACATGTCAGACTTTGACATCATGTTGGCCCGTAAGAAAGCTCAGAGCGGCAAACGCAGGCGGAATCGAGACGGAGGAACGTTCATCAGTGATGCAGACGATGTCGTGAGCGCCATGATCACCAAAATGACAGAGGCTGCAGAGGTGTGTGTGTGTGTGTGTGTTTCGGGGGAGTTAATAAGAGAGTATCCGTGACATACTGTTGATTTATCAAAGAAAATGATCATAACTCGTCCCTCAGTAGGGCTGGGTAATAAATATCGATTTCTCGATATTAATCGATTCTTATTTTTACGAACCGATATCGATTCTTAAATCTCAAGAATCGATTAGTCATCCTGTTTCATTTGAATGAATGGGACGTTGTATCGCGGCTGCGCGCATCCAAAAAATCGCAATAATCTTTGTGCTTTGTTACTATTGATATGAAACAAAGTCTCAATTTTCAAATTACATCCATTTTCTTTAGAAATTCAAAAACATAAATAAGGTTTTGTCGCTGTGGCGTGAGATCGCTCTGGAGAAGCAGCAGCGCTGATCTCTCGTCCGGCTTAATAATACCAGTTAAACATGAATGAGCATCTGAAAGTGTGTTAAAGATAGAGTACAACTTATCCAAATCCGGATCATGTCACATTGATTCACTCAATCAGCGTTTCAACCGTGGAAAGACGTCAGTTAAACAGCTTGTAATCAATGTCATCGTCATATTTACCTCAGAAAACCCACATAAACTCGTTAGTCCATACTCGTTAGTGTTCTTCAATATTTAGTGCATATTTGAATAAATCTGGCATGTTTTTATAACAGTCACCATTTAAATGTTTATATTTCATATAATCTTCTTATTATAAAAATAAATAAAAGTGTAATTTAAGTGTTTGTATAGCTACAAAACAGTTCATTATTACCTTCATATTAGGCTAATGAAGCCTATAGGCTACAACTAGACTCCCATACTTTACAGCATTAGTTAAAGGGATACTCCACTTTTTTTTGGAAATGGGCTCATTTTACAACTCCCCAGAGTTAAACAGTTGTGTTTTACCGTTTTTGGATCAATTCAGGCGATTTTCTGATATTTAGAAGAATATCTGTAACCAGATAGTTTCTGGTCTCATTGACTTCCATAGTAGGGAAAAAATATACTATGGTAGTCAATGAGACCAAAAAAGGTCTGGTTACAGATATTCTTCTAAAGATCAGAAAATCGCCTGAATTGATTTGAAAACGGTAAAACACAACTGTTTAACTCTGGGGGAGTTGTAAAATGAGCCTATTTCCAAAAAAAGTGGAGTATCCCTTTAAGAGATTTGATTCCCTTGAGAAAAATGGCCATTTATTGTAAGTGATATCCAAAATAATCAATATTGAATCGTAATCGAATCGAATTGCAAGCTTGTGAATCGAAATCGAATCGAATTGTGAAATTTGTCTCAATACTCAGCCCTATCCCTCAGTGGGACAGGATTCATGTTTACAGTGTGTGTGTGTGTGTTTCAGGAGGACCGGACTCTAAACAGTTCAAAGAAACCCGCTCTGAAGAAGCTCATGCTGCTCCCCACAGTGGTGATGCATTTAAAGAAGTGAGTGTTTCCTCGTCTTGCTGAAGCATCAACGTGTGTGTGTGTGTGTGTTTAGAGTCTGTCGTCTGATATTAGAATAGAAGTGTGATTAAGTGTGTGTGTGTAGGCAGGACCTGAAGGAGACGTTTATAGACAGCGGTGTGATGGCTGCCATAAAGGAGTGGATCAGTCCTCTCCCGGATCGGAGTCTCCCAGCGCTGAAGATCCGAGAGGAACTCCTCAAGATCCTGCAGGAAGTGAGTCTGTTAAACACACAACTAATCTTTTTTTATTTTATTTATTCATTTATTTATTTTTTAGGGCCGTCAACTTTAGTCGTTTAGTCGACTAATCGGTCGATGTCGTCTTGGTCGACTGACATTCTTATTGGTTGACCAGCTGCATTTTTTTTTTTTTTTTTTACCAACAGAAAGAATTTTTCAATGACTTACTCCTTGATATTTATTCCTTTATAAGCAGTTATTTATTACTGTATTCTAAATATAATTAGCCTATGTTTTGTCCCCACCTTTAAATGCTTTAATTTAGGCTATTTTTGTAACTGCGCCACAGTTTAGCGCACACACATAATACACTCAGGAACCGCACCTGTGGTTGGCTGCGCTGCTGCTCGCGCTCGGTAAGGGATGCTGTATTCATTCTGTTAGAACGCTGCTTGTTTTGGCTTTAGTCGACAAAATGTCCAGGAAATCTAAATCTTTTGTCTGGCTGCATTTTAAAACAAAGACGACAAGACTGTGGAGGGAGGCGATCGCGTTGCTCCATTATGAGCGCGCAAGTCGCGCGCCTACATTTGAAATCGAACTTGAGCGCGCAAAAGACGTGAGCAGCCTTTTAACGGCTATATCATGCTGACTCAATAGATTGTGTTTTCTTAATGTTTTTGTTTGTACACTTGACGCATTTGAAAATAGCCTAAATAATGCAACAAAACGAAAATAACCTATACGCGGTCCTACAGCCTATTATTAGGATTGTTTTTAGGCTATTTGGGTTTTTGTGTGTTGTTTTAAAACCCCTTGATCGTCAGGACAAAAGTTAACCCATAGCTTTGAAAGTAAAGAAGAATATATAAAGCCTGTATAAACGAGAGCTTTTGTTGTGATTTTTCATTATGTGTCAGATAGCAGTTATATATTGACTGATTATATAGTGACTGTTACTATAGACCGAGGACAGAGCTCCTCACTCTTTGCAGTTAAAAAATCACTTAATTTTCAAAGAATTGTATTATTATTATAGTTTTATTTATTTGTGATGTTTTTTCGTTGTTGTTTTATAAATGCTCAATGACAATTGTTTAAAAAATGTTTAATCAAAACATCACGTTTTTTTTTTTTTTAGTCGACTAATCGTTGCACAGGACTCGACTTTGGTCGACTAAGGATTTCTTTGGTTGACTAGAGCCCTATTATATTTATTGCATAACAAGAACAATATATAACATACACATACAGAGGATCATATAGTATTACATTCATAATAGCATCAAAGAAACAATAGACAGAAAAAATAAATAAATAAACTAAACAGGGGAAACATCATTACAAAAAAATCCAAAAAGAAAGGGATTCAAAAATAGTATACATCCGTTTCGCTTTTTTATTTCTTGCATCTTTTAGGGCTTCAATATAATGTTTAAGCTCAATTTTTAATAATATAATGTTCGGTTTATTATTAGACATCGTCGTTTTTACACCCTGTGATGAATGTGTGTGTAAAGAAATTGAGTGCATGCATGCATTTCTTTTAAGGGGGTATATTGGACTGTCAATCGATTAAAAGTGGTAATCTCATTAATTACACGATGTGGTGATTTGATCAAATCAAATTTGGAAATGAAACCCAAAAGATAATTTAAAGTCATTATTGTGTTAAATGAGAAAAGCATTAAATAAATGTTACAATTTGTTTTTTATTTGATTCAACAATTCATATGATATAATTTTTTGATTTAACAGAATTTATTACACAGATTTTTAGGTTTTTATTTTGGGGTCAAATATGCCTTTTTTTAGTTTTTTTTTCATTAGTAGGGAAATATGAATAACAATAATGAATTGATACTCTAAATAAGATATTAAAACTGCCAGTAGGCATTAAATGTCTAAGTGAGTCGTTAAATCATTCATTCATTCATTCATTCATTCATTCATGCGATTCATCCAGGAATGAAGTATTGCTTTCTTTATGAACGAATCATTGGTTCACTCGATTGATTGGCTCAAAATGCTGATTCATTCAGAAATTAAACACCGCTGTCGCTAACGGCTCTGCTCTGGCTTCATAGATAATATTGTTGGCAAAATTGAGCACAAACAGACAATTATATTGTATCTAAAATATAATATTAACTTCTTATGTATTGAACTGTTGTATAAAATCTAAAAAACTGCACTCGTGTGATATCACCTAACTACATCATATGATATAAATATGAGAAACTCAAACAGTTTATGCATGCATAATATATATAGATGTTAATATTTATTTATTTAAATGCTGTTATGGTAATAAACTCAAATATAACTGCTTAAGTTATTTCTTTGTGTGTGGAGTGGGGACCATATATTTGTTTATTATCTTCCTATCTTTGTCCTGATAAGATTGTAAAAGTTTGTGTGTGTGTCCACAGTTGCCCAGCGTGAGTCAGGAAACACTGAAGCTCAGCGGGATCGGGCGAGCCGTCATGTACCTCTACAAACACCCCAAAGAGTCCCGGCCCAACAAAGACCTCGCGCTCAAACTCATCAGTACGAACTCTTCCACTGCTGCATCTCTATATGTGTGTGTGTGTGTTTTTCTATCCCGATGGGGACTTAAACCTGAACACAGATCTCATGGGGACTCACTGTGTCACTGTGACCTAAACTGAGGAAACATGCTTATAATCATACAGAATGTGTGTGTGTGTGATGGGTAGCTTTAGGGTTAGTGTAAAGAGACAGGAGAGTCCCCACAAAGATGGTAAACCAGGCGTGTGTGTGTGTGTGTGTGTGTGCACAGATGAGTGGTCGCGGCCCATCTTCGGCTTAACGTCGAACTATAAGGGAATGACGAGAGAAGAGCGCCAGCAGAGAGACCTGGACCAGCAGATCGCCCCGCGCCGGAGACTCAGGTAACACTCAGCACTGCATCGCTGGTCACGCTCACACACACACACAAGACACGGCTCAAAGGCCTTCATGTACACGCATTAATCGCTCCGATTGAGAGCCGTGGCTTATTCCTTTTCTAATCCGATCGAGAGAACATGTGCACACTTGATCGGATTGAACGCTGAAACTGAAAGGATGTAGAATCAGTGTGATGACGTGAAGAACGATGATGAATTAGTGTCAAATAAACGAGTGTCCCATCATTCTATAATCCTCCTTTGCCTCCACTCGCACCAGTCCCGATGATGTACACGTCGCGTCATTACGTCACTTCATAGCGTTCCCATGGCAACGGGTTACGTCACTTCATAACGTCCCCATGGCAACAGGTTACGTCACTTCATAGCGTTCCCATGGCAACAGGTTACGTCACTTCATAACGTCCCCATGGCAACAGGTTACGTCACTTCATAGCGTTCCCAATGCAACGGGTTACGTCACTTCATAACGTCCCCATGGCAACAGGTTACGTCACTTCATAACGTCCCCATGGCAACAGGTTACGTCACTTCATAACGTCCCCATGGCAACAGGTTACGTCACTTCATAGCGTTCCCATGGCAATGGGTTACGTCACTTCATAACGTTCTCATGGAAACAGGTTACGTCATTGCATAGCGTTCCCATGGAAACAGGTTACGTCACTTCATAGCGTTCCCATGGAAACAGGTTATGTCACTTCATAGCGTTCCCATGGAAACAGGTTATGTCATTGCATAGCGTTCCCATGGAAACAGGTTATGTCATTTCATAGCGTTCCCATGGCAACAGGGGGAAACAGCTGCTCTCGTGTGACACTAACGCAACATTTTTGAACTTTCTGCTAAGATATACGTGACTTTTTTTTGCAACGAAAATGCGAGGATTGTGAAATCATGCAAGCCCCGCATATTTTGCTCTGAAACTGGCAGTTCATTTGAAAAATTGCAGACTTTGGATGATTATGCACTGAATCGTGCGATCGCATAATCATGTTTTTCTGGAGGGACTGACTAATGCACAAACAGCGGGAAACTGTATATTAATTCAGTGAGCACATGTGAAAAACGATCCCGATTTGAAGCTCGTGACATAAACGCACACATCAACCCGATCACTAGTTTAGTGTTCATTAGAGGTGTAAGAGGTGGCACAATTCACGGTTCGTTTCGGCACGTTTTCGATTCAGCAAAAAGAAAGAAATGCCAGAGAAATTTATTTTTTTAAATTATATTTTTTATGAAAACGAACATCATAAAGTATGATATTTTTTAGCGATACTTTTCAAGTTTGACTCTTCTTAGGAGCATATAAAACTATACAACTCCTTGGACATAATGAAATGGAATATTGTAGTAGTTATAAACAGCTTTATTTTAGTTCATATTAACATTTGAGGGCAGCAACTGTATTCATAATGTCCAAATAAAACCGACGTGATGTTACTTGAAAGCATTATAGCCGACTATTCCTGCCACACTTACAGTTAGTAGTGTAATACAGTAAATTCATGGTGAATGTTGCTGATCTGTGGACACTGGTTAGTTAATTCTCGGCACAATGTTTATCCTGGTTTTGATCCGTTAATAACGGTGTGATAAATGTGAATGTTTCTCACTAGATCTCGCAGCGATGTTATTACTTCAGTGGCGAACTCAAATGATGAAGATCGGCTCGCGCTGCATTGGTCCAAACTGATAAACGGTCCGTCAACCACACAATAACGAGTAGCTCAGCTTCGTTTACATTTACCATTTGATGATGCGCAATGTTGTGGTCACGCCGGCATCTCGAGAGCGCTTGCCACGCGCAAGCAAAAAATGGTCCAATGAACCGTTCGCTTTGAAAATGTGTACTGAACGGTTCAATGCGAATATGTGTATCGCTACACCGCTAGTGTAAACAACACGTTTAAACACACTAAATGAGTCGGATTGACATCCAGTGACGTTCTCCTCATCTGTCTCCTCTCCTGTGGGTGTAAGTGAGCCTCAGACGTCTGCGAGGCCAGAGGAGCCCAACGTCTTTGCCCCTGCGCTCAGGTTCAGTGTGTGTGTGTGTGTGTGAGAGAGAGAGAGAGCATGAGCCTGTCTCAAGTTCAGGAATGTTTCTAACACTGATGTACGGGTGGGCGATATGGCAAAAAGAGCATATCATGTTTTTTTTTGTTTGTTTTTTTCAGAAAAATCACGATTTTATAATTTCTTTTTCATGTTGGTTTTAAAGGTTTTAAAAACCTTTGTCTTTATTTTCTTTGTAGGGAATCAAAACGCATGTGATTCTTGGGTTAATTGCAAAGCAGAGCCAGACCGATATTATCGGCCGATATTAGGCATTTTCCAAACTATCCGTATCGGCAGTTATAATGGCCGATAAATGAATATTTCAAAAATAAAATAAAAACGGACGAAACACGCTTGAACCATGTCATGAGTGTTGGAGTTGTATAGTTTGTCCACCAGAGGGCGCTCTACACCGTCCCTGTTGGCAACACTCGTTGAGTTGGTCACGATACATACATCGCTTGAATAACAATTAAAAGAACATCCCCATCAGTTCTCTTAACTCAAATAAGCATGACAACATTTGTGACTATCACGTCCAGTTTTGCTGAGAGTGAAGCGGAAATAGCTAGTAATAGTTACAGTGTCGTTGACTGACTGTCCTTTTAACTTTAGACAATGTGACGGAAGTATTTCTTTAATAGCGCGTGACAGTTATAACAATGAGACGTATCATCTCTCCTCGGCCTGTTATATTGAAAATGTATGTTTTACAATTTGACGTTATCCATTGCTAAATTACGGCTAATCATAGACTAGCTAACCACAAAGCTAGCTAACGCCACAATCATCAGTCTGTTCTGTCGTGACAATGAAAGAAACAAGTTTCTTTTTAAAATGCATTATCATATTATTTTAGTTAAAACTCAAAAATAACTACAAATGACTAATGTTAGAAAAATCTGTTAAATTTTTGTTGCACGTTTCTGAAATAATAATAATAAAAAAAAAAATATCGTCCGATATATCGGATCTTAAAACCAACAAATATTTGTATCGGTATCGACCTTCAAAATCCTTCTTCGGTCAGTCTCTATTGCAAAGTTTACCCATCACAGAGCGAGTGTGTTCGGTCCTGTCAGTTTAAACCAGTAAGAGATGTGAAGAGGATTTCTATTCCGATGTTTGTTCTCTTTCTCGTCTGTTTAAAAAAATGTAACTCTTTAAACACTGAAGGCATGTGAGTCTCTGCATTTGTGTGTGTGATGGGTTGGGTTAGTGTGTGTGTGTGTGTGTGTGTGTGTGTGTGTACTGAGGTTTTCAAATTCAGGCGAATGTGATCAAACTCGGCTTCACACGCATCCGACTCAAACACTGACCGCATGTTTGCCTGAGCGTATCCCATGATTCCTCTGCTCTCAGTGTGTGTGTGTGTGTTTCTCCTCCACAGTTCTGGTGGACAGACTCCTCGCAGAGATCTGGAGAAGGTGCTGACGGGAGAGGAGAAGTACGGCTATACACTGTTTTAGTTTTCATAGTTCACTGAAGCTTTTGTGATGATAAAGCCAATTTTATTTTGTTTTTTAATTAGCAAAATAGACACCACCATCATTTATAAATATGCTACAATTTAAATATTATTTATTATATGAATGTGCTTAATCTTATGAAAATGCCACATTACAAAAATTGTATTGCTCCTAAAAAGTTTATTTCTTTTGTGAGAATCTCCAATTTTTATTGTTTTCCCCATAGTTTTTAAAAACTATATCACAGCTAGTTTGTTTTAATGTATTTATTGTAATTTAATATTCCATTATATCATTTTATTATAGAGTATATGTATTGTATAATTTGCATTTCATTATAACTTAATATTTAATGCATTTTAATTATATAGTATAATTGTATTATAATTATAATATTAGAATTGAGTAGCTTATTATAATGAAATGTATTTAAAATATTACTATCATTTAAAATTATATACATTTTTATATATCTATTAATGCAAATTAATGAAGGAATAATTTAAAATTGTATTATGTTGAATTTATTGTAAACTATTATATAATTTATTAATTCTAACTGATTTTTATAATTAAATATTTTATTATATCAAATGTATTTATTATATTATAATTTTATGTTTGTTTTATCATCTGTACAATATATTATAGTTTAACCACTGTAGTATTGCTAATTCATAAAAATTATAATTTAATATTGTTTTATTATAATTAAAATCTAATACAATTTATAAATAATTGTATGATATAATTTAGTTAATTTAATATGTTTCTTAATGCTAATTAATAAAAAGTATTGATTTTAATATTTCATTATATTGAAATATATTATACAAAAAACTATAATATACATTTATAATTAATTTTGCCTTATATTTTAATGTATATATTATAATTGTATTATATTTTAATGTGTATATATATTATAATTATAATAATATACAAATGATAATACATTTTATTTTTTATTATTGTTAATCTCTCTCTCTCTCTCTCTCTCAGGGCGTTAAGGCCGGGCGACCCAGGGTTTTGTGCGAGGGCTCGTGTGCCGATGCCGTCCAATAAGGACTACGTGGTTCGACCCAAATGGAACGTGGATGGGGACTCAAACCGAAGTGTAAGTGGGCGGGGCATGTGTGTGTGTGTGTGTGTGTGTGGGGGGGGGTGGGTTTAAGTGCAGAGGAATGATTGACAGGTGTCTCTTGCTCAAATCATGAGTGAGAGGAGTTTGCACGGGATGGAGAGACGTTTTTATCTGACTAAAGAAATTAAATGTAGAGTTTGCCCATTTCAATCCCCCCTTTGATCTGATTGGTGGAGGAGGTTTTTTGACTGTCATGTGATTGGTAGACGAGCTTAAGGAAAGGCCTCAGCCTGATGGAGAAGCACAAACGGCGTTTGGCGGAGGAGAGAAAGCAGCGGCGCCCACAGGGTGCTGTGAAAATCAGCATTGAGGGGAACCGAATGCCCCTGTAGTTCCTGGTCCCGCCTGAGGGGGCAGTAAGTGTCTGCATGGCTCTGCATGCTGCACTGGAGACAGTGTAGTGAAGGAGAGACCCCAACTAACACCAGGGACCCTATCATACAGCGCCAGACGTGACGCAAGTGTGTTTCGCTAGTTTCAGCCCGACGCCGTTATCATTTTTTACGTCCCGCGCCACGTTTTTTAAATAGCAACAATGTCCTGTAGATGGTCTACTTGCGCTTTGACCTCGAGCTCACACACACACAGCTTTAACCTCACGCACAAGCAGATCCGTTTCCTTGCTAGAGAAGCATTCAGTCTTCTGGCATTGAATGAGAGATGAGACTGTGATTGGTCGTTACGCCAAAAACACACCCGTTACTCATTAAGAGACCAACTAACGACCAATTTTCCCATCGTTAAACTCGATTCAGACATGCACTAAATGCGCTTTAGACCATGAGCTTAGATCGGTAAAATAGGGCCCTTAAACCAGTCTTCAAACAGCGGCAGTGTGTAATCTTTAGCGGCATCTAGTGGTGAGCTTGTGAATTGCACCCAACTCAGATGACGTAACTTCAGTTTAGCAATGAGCTTTCTTTACAAAAAAGAAGAAATTAGGTTCACTTAATTATTCAGTAAAGTGATATGTAATTGTGAATATTATTGTGTCTGTGTTTTATTAGCTACAGCTTCTCTGCACAAAGAACAACACAGTGACCGCTCTGGGCCACCATAGAAATGTGGATGTGAGGAGACTTGCGGTGTGTGTGGAGAGAAATGCTCATTCTCAGCTGATAAAAACACACCGCTTCATTAAGTTAGCTCGTTACACACCACTGAAAACACAGTTATGTGTGTGATATTGCATTTGTCAACAGATCCGCCTAAATATTACACACTGCACCTTTAATGAAAGTTACTGAAACTAATTCCACCATCCTTGGTTTTGGATGTTGGAAGTCACCGTCACGAGAGCACTGGAGTGTGTGTGTGTGTGTGTGAGACACACGAAACCTCAGCGCTTCAAGTGTGTGTTCATTATCAGCTCTGGTTGATTCTCACAGGGACTGGTTTGTTTTTTATAGTAGTAGCGGCAAATGCACATTTCTAATTGACTTGATCTTTCTTTCAGTGTTTGTAAGTCAAGCGACTTTGCTTTTAGTCATTTCCTGTTTATTTTATTTAAAATAAAAGGATTCACTTTTGTCTGTAAAAGTTTCCTCTTTTTTGGCTTGTTTTTTAAAAAATTTAATTCTTTATAATAATGTCTCTTATTTTTAAAAGAATTTAATTTATAGAATAAATATTTTTAATTTGCTTGTTATTTCCTATTTACTTTTTTTAATGATTTAACTTTTAATTATATTATTAATTATATTGTATTCGCTTGTAAAAATTTCCTATATTTGTTTTTTGGTTTTATATTTTGTTTTTGTGTAACTGTTTTCTATTTATTTTTTGTTAATTAAAATTATATTTTTTAATATTAACCTTAATATTAAAGGTTTTCTTTTTTACTTATTGTTTTTTAAATAAAAAAAAAAGATCATTTTAATTGCCTTGTTTTTGCATGTAGCTATTTATTCAATATTTGTTCATTTAAAATGATTATATATATATGTTTTTTTGTTTTCCCACCTTATAAAAAACAGGAAACTATTACAAACAATTTTTTTGTGTTTTTGTACAATTCAAAATAATAATAATATATTTTTATTTTTTTGGTAAGCATTTCTTTTTGTATTTTTGTTAATTTAAAAAGATTAATATTTTTAATTGGCTTTTTATTGCAATCTTTTTTTTAATTAAACAATATATATATATTTTTAATTGCCTTTTTTTGCTTGTAATATAATTTTTTTTAAATATAAAAATATATATAGAATTTTTCCCGTTTTTTTTTAAAAATCGTTTCCTATTTATTTTTAGTTAATTGAAAAAAGATTCAGTTATTTCACGCTGACTTTTTTTCCTTACTTGCATCAGTTTTCCACAGCATCCTTGTGTCTGCAGTGTGTGTGACTCCTCTTCTCCGTCTCTCAGGGTCCGATGAAGAAGGGCATGACACGAGTAGATAAACAGCTGCGCCGCTTCGCTGACATCAAGCGCCTGACGAAGCCTGGGCACGCGGTGAAGATCAGCGTAGAGGGAAACCGCATGCCTCTCTGACCCCCCACACGCTCCGCATCTTTTCTCTTTCTGTTGAGTTTTCTGTCAAATGTTGCCGGCTCTGAGCGTCAGATCTCGTGAAGCCGCGTGTCTGTACTGTAGCTATGCCTGAGTTTGCGTAGCTGCACCTTTAAAATGTATTCAGAGCCCAGAGAGATGAACTGGGAACATTATGTGTTTGGTTCTGATGTATCTTTCATAATAAAGAGTTTCCATGTTCTACATTTTACTCATGAACTCCCTGCTCTTTTCTTACCTTTATTTGCAGTGTCAAATACACTGCGTACAATGCAAACGTGACCAAAATGGTTCAAATGTAGGTTATACTATATTTTAAAACCATAATGTAATTTTATTGATCATTAATAACAAGGTTTGTTCATCTGAAGTACTAACACAGTAATTCCTAAAAAGTCTCTTGGTTTGATTGATATACATGTGAATGTCATTTGACTAAACTGAACAAGAGGCTCATAAAGCACGATTATCCAAAACAGCTTTAACCAATGATATTAGACCATAAAACATTAAAAGTATACCATGACCAAAAAAATCACGTTTCTTGAAGATTTTGAACTTCACATGATTGCGGAAGTCAATTCATCAAGATCCAGAACTACTGGAAATATCCAAATCTTATATGAAATTCACTGAAAATATTTTCTTCTGGCCAAATATATGTTGTAAGCAGCATGGCTTAAAGAAATGTATATTTCAAATTGAAAAAATATATATATTCAAATACTTTGTGAGGAAAATGCATTTGCAACCTTAAAAGTGCATGTTATATATATATTATATAGGTTTTTACGAGTTACTTGATTTATTTTATTTCTTGCATTTCCATGTCAGAAATCATGTTTTTGTTTGTATGAAAATTTTATAGCCGAAAAAAAAGATGCACTAAACAAGCAAAACATTGTTAACACTGTACAATTTAATTAGTTAAAGTGAACTAACAATGAACAATACTTCTTCTAAAGCATTTATTAATCTTAGTATATTATTAAAATCAAACATTGTGTCCCTTAAAATATTTAATGGATCTGAGCTACACTGAAGAAAAATGGTGTAGAAACAGCTTTCGTGCTTAAAAAATTGCAAGTAAAAAATTTATTACACAAAATAATAATTAAAGTATAAGGATTGAAATCATATTTTCTTGTAAAACAGTCTAATAATCTTTGTTTTATTTACAACTTCCAAAAAAAATTATTTTTACAACAAAACAAGAACTAACTATGTATTTTTTTATTAACAAACATTAATTAAAACTTGTAATAGCTCATCTTTAGTTAATGCATAATGTGCGCCAATATTCACTGTACTTTCGCAGTCTGACTGCGTCTGGATTCCTCTTTCACCATCTCCTCCCGTATCCAGGATAAATAGTTTCCCAGTCGTGTATAAACGCCGTATTTGCCCTCGGCCGCGCATCTCTCGCCCCAGCTGACGACCCCGGCCAGGAACCACGTGCCGCGGTAGTTGACGACGAAGGGTCCGCCGCTGTCGCCCGTACACGCGTCCATCTCCGCCATCAGATATCCCGCGCAGAACATGTTATCCGTGATCACCTGCTCCGTGGAGTTGATGCAGTTCATCTGATCCACCACTGGGAGCAGCACCTTCCTCAGGAATCGAGAAGAGCGCTGAAGGTAGCGAGTCGCACCTGTGGTGGATTTTATTAATCATAATTTACATTTATTTTTCTTGCAGGAAAAACATTCATATGCTTTTGAATCCTACATTTTTCCAAACCCTTTGGTATAAACTTGTGACTGAGTGTATTTGTTTGTGAATCATGTCTGTCATGTCAATGTTGTTCAATCGACGAGACGCAGGAAAACTAACGTCGTTCAGGTGACGTTCGGGGACGTCGATTAGTAGACGAGACCCAGGAAAACTAACGCCGATCTGGAGACGTTCGGGGACGTCGATTAGTAGAAGAGACCCAGGTAGACTATTGTCGATCAGGAGACGGTCAGGGACGTCAATTAGTAGACGAGACCCAGGTAGACTATTGTCGATCAGGAGACGGTCAGGGACGTCGATTAGTAGACGAGACCCAGGTAAACTAACGTCGATCAGGAGACGTTCGGGGACGTCGATTAGTAGACGAGACCCAGGTAGACTATTGTCGATCAGGAGACGGTCAGGGACGTCGATTAGTAGACGAGACCCAGGAAAACTAACGCCGATCTGGAGATGTTTGGGGACGTCGATTAGTAGACGAGACACAGGTAAGCTAATGTCGATCAGGAAACGGTCAGGGATGTCGATTAGTAGAAGAGACCCAGGTAGACTATTGTCGATCAGGAGACGGTCAGGGACGTCGATTAGTAGACGAGACCCAGGTAGACTAACGTCGATCAGGAGACGGTCAGGGATGTCGATTAGTAGAAGAGACCCAGGTAGACTATTGTCGATCAGGAGACGGTCAGGGACGTCGATTAGTAGACGAGACCCAGGTAGACTATTGTCGATCAGGAGACGGTCAGGGACGTCGATTAGTAGACGAGACCCAGGTAGACTAACGTCGATCAGGAGACGGTCAGGGACGTCGATTAGTAGAAGAGACCCAGGTAGACTATTGTCGATCAGGAGACGGTCAGGGACGTCGATTAGTAGACGAGACCCAGGTAGACTATTGTCGATCAGGAGACGGTCAGGGACGTCGATTAGTAGACGAGACCCAGGTAAACTAACGTCGATCAGGAGACGGTCAGGGATGTCGATTAGTAGAAGAGACCCAGGTAGACTATTGTCGATCAGGAGACGGTCAGGGACGTCAATTAGTAGACGAGACCCAGGTAGACTAACGTCGATCAGGAGACGGTCAGGGATGTCAATTAGTAGACGAGACCCAGGTAGACTATTGTCGATCAGGAGACGGTCAGGGACGTCAATTAGTAGACGAGACCCAGGTAGACTAACGTCGATCAGGAGACGGTCAGGGATGTCAATTAGTAGACGAGACCCAGGTAGACTATTGTCGATCAGGAGACGGTCAGGGACGTCAATTAGTAGACGAGACCCAGGTAGACTATTGTCGATCAGGAGACGGTCAGGGACGTCAATTAGTAGACGAGACCCAGGTAGACTATTGTCGATCAGGAGACGGTCAGGGACGTCGATTAGTAGACGAGACCCAGGTAGACTATTGTCGATCAGGAGACGGTCAGGGACGTCAATTAGTAGACGAGACCCAGGTAGACTATTGTCGATCAGGAGACGGTCAGGGACGTCGATTAGTAGAAGAGACCCAGGTAGACTATTGTCGATCAGGAGACGGTCAGGGACGTCAATTAGTAGACGAGACCCAGGTAGACTATTGTCGATCAGGAGACGGTCAGGGACGTCGATTAGTAGAAGAGACCCAGGTAGACTAACGTCGATCAGGAGACGGTCAGGGATGTCGATTAGTAGAAGAGACCCAGGTAGACTAACGTCGATCAGGAGACGGTCAGGGACGTCAATTAGTAGACGAGACCCAGGTAGACTATTGTCGATCAGGAGACGGTCAGGGACGTCAATTAGTAGACGAGACCCAGGTAGACTATTGTCGATCAGGAGACGGTCAGGGACGTCGATTAGTAGACGAGACCCAGGTAGACTATTGTCGATCAGGAGACGGTCAGGGACGTCGATTAGTAGAAGAGACCCAGGTAGACTATTGTCGATCAGGAGACGGTCAGGGACGTCAATTAGTAGACGAGACCCAGGTAGACTATTGTCGATCAGGAGACGGTCAGGGACGTCGATTAGTAGACGAGACCCAGGTAGACTAACGTCGATCAGGAGACGGTCAGGGATGTCGATTAGTAGAAGAGACCCAGGTAGACTATTGTCGATCAGGAGACGGTCAGGGACGTCAATTAGTAGACGAGACCCAGGTAGACTATTGTCGATCAGGAGACGGTCAGGGACGTCGATTAGTAGACGAGACCCAGGTAGACTATTGTCGATCAGGAGACGGTCAGGGACGTCAATTAGTAGACGAGACCCAGGTAGACTAACGTCGATCAGGAGACGGTCAGGGATGTCGATTAGTAGACGAGACCCAGGTAGACTATTGTCGATCAGGAGACGGTCAGGGACGTCAATTAGTAGACGAGACCCAGGTAGACTATTGTCGATCAGGAGACGGTCAGGGACGTCAATTAGTAGACGAGACCCAGGTAAACTAACGTCGATCAGGAGACGTTCTGGGACGTCGATTAGTAGACGAGACCCAGGTAAACTAACGTCGATCAGGAGACGTTCTGGGACGTCGATTAGTAGACGAGACCCAGGTAGACTATTGTCGATCAGGAGACGGTCAGGGACGTCAATTAGTAGACGAGACCCAGGTAGACTAACGTCGATCAGGAGACGTTCTGGGACGTCGATTAGTAGACGAGACCCAGGTAAACTAACGTCGATCAGGAGACGTTCTGGGACGTCGGTTAGTAGACGAGACCCAGGTAGACTATTGTCGATCAGGAGACGGTCAGGGACGTCAATTAGTAGACGAGACCCAGGTAGACTATTGTCGATCAGGAGACGGTCAGGGACGTCGATTAGTAGACGAGACCCAGGTAAACTAACGTCGATCAGGAGACGGTCAGGGATGTCGATTAGTAGACGAGACCCAGGTAGACTATTGTCGATCAGGAGACGGTCAGGGACGTCAATTAGTAGACGAGACCCAGGTAGACTATTGTCGATCAGGAGACGGTCAGGGACGTCGATTAGTAGACGAGACCCAGGTAGACTATTTTCGATCAGGAGACGGTCAGGGACGTCGATTAGTAGACGAGACCCAGGTAGACTATTGTCGATCAGGAGACGGTCAGGGACGTCGATTAGTAGACGAGACCCAGGTAGACTATTGTCGATCAGGAGACGGTCAGGGACGTCGATTAGTAGAAGAGACCCAGGTAGACTATTGTCGATCAGGAGACGGTCAGGGACGTCGATTAGTAGATGACCCAGGTAGACTTAAATCAGGTGCAAGAGATGCGAAAGAAGAATAATCTACCACTCACCCCATCCCGTCACCAGGCCCTGCTCTCCGGGCTTCAGGAGTCGTTCTGCCAGGTTGGCGTCGGGAAGGCAAACCGGAGCGGCGAACGGACCCGGGGTCACGGGGGCAGACAGGTACAGCAGAGCGATGTCACTGTCGAAGGTGTATTCGTGGAAGTGAGGGTGGAGGACCACCTTCTCCACTTTGATCTTCTGTTCGTCTTTGTCGGGACGCATCTTATCGTAGTCTCCTGTGTGTGTGAGAATATCATAAATTCATGTCTGAAAGGAAAGAGAAACAACAACTGACTTCCAGCCACATAAGTAAACTGCAACCTTGTATCACTCATATAGTTAAGTGTGTTCAGAATGCATCAATATTCATTTATATGTAATAACGACTTTTCTGAACACACGACACATGAAGGATCCCATCAGACAGACGCCACTCACCGACGGTCACATGGTTTGGTGTTTGCTGGAGACAGTGTGCTGCCGTCACCACCCAGCGCAGAGCGATCAGAGAGCCGCCGCAGAACCCTTGATCATCCTCACGACGGAGAAGAACCTGCAGCGTTTTCATTCAGTGTTAAGAGTCTGAAATTTTCATATCCATCATTCGGTGGCTCTGAATTGCCATAACACCTCTTAAAGTGCTTGCTACGGATGCGAAAAACGCAGAGAATCGAACCTGATACGAATTTTTTATGACGGACAAAAGTTTCGCAGGAAGTGTGCAAACGTGATTAACACAACGCAAGGTCGTATTTATTCTTTAAGCAAGCAAAAATTTCATTTCAGACTTTTTGCCAGGACCTTGAGTCGAAATTTTCGCATGTTAAAAAATTAATACCTCACATTGTGCGATTCACTTTTAGACACTTCCTTTCAAAACTTTATTTAAAATTTAATTTAAACTTATGATAGCTATCTAAAAGTCCACTAACAATGAACTATTTTTAATGCGTTAAAAATGTACTTGTAATAAATACATTAATAAAACTCTGAATTGCCATAACACCTCTTAAAGTGCTTGCTACGGATACGAAAAACGCAGAGAATCGAACCTGATACGAATTTTTTATGACGGACGAAAGTTTCGCAGGAAGTGTGCAAACGTGATTGACACAACGCGAGGTCGTATTTATTCTTTAAGCCAGCAAAAATTTCATTTCAGACTTTTTGCCAGGACCTTGAGTCGAAATTTTCGCATGTTAAAAAATTAATACCTCACATTGTGCGATTCACGTTTAGACACTTCCTTTCAAAACTTTATTTAAAATTTAATTTAAACTTATGATAGCTATCTAAAAGTGCACTAACAATGAACTATTTTTAATGCGTTAAAAATGTATTTGTAATAAATACATTAATAAAACTCTGAATTGCCATAACACCTCTTAAAGTGCTTGCTACGGTTGCGAAAAACGCAGAAAATCGAACCTGATAGGAATTTTTTATGACGGACGAAAGTTTCGCAGGAAGTGTGCAAACGTGATTGACACAACGCAAGGTCGGATTTTTAAAAATTTAATTTCAGACTTTTTGCCAGGACCTTGAGTCGAAATTTTCGCATGTTAAAAAATTAATACCTCACATTGTGCGATTCACGTTTAGACACTGCCTGCAAAACTTTCGTCCGATATAATTTTGGGATCGGTTTCGATTTTCTGAGCTTTTCGCATCCTTAGCAAGCATTTTAAGAGGCGTTTTAACAATTCAAAGCCACCGAATGACGAACCTTTACTGATCAAATCTCTGAAGGTTTAGCATTAAGGTCATGTGTAGGATCAGATTCGCCCCACCTGCCACGGACTCCCGCCCTGACCCTGCAGCTGACCTCCAACGATACGCGTATCCTCATTTGCACCTGTGATGTCACTTCCTGTCTCTGAGAGTTCGTCCTGTGAAGCAGGTTTGGCTTGTTGAAGTGTGGTTTGGTTTGGCAGGAGAGTCGAGTTGTCCAGTGAACTTCTGTTGTGATGTAATGAGTGGGAGGAGTTTGTCACGGTGTGGGTGTGGTTTGCATCATCAGGATCTGTGGTGCTTATATCATCCAGAGAGCGAGACATGATCCCGCTAATCCACTGTTTCCCACAGGGGTACTGCACTAACACACACAAACACAAATATTCACTAATGAAGGTCTAGCAAAAAATATTTTTATTTTATAATATGCATATAGTGCAAAAAAAAGTTTGCGTTTAGCAATCCCTTTCTTTGCACATTCTCTTAATAATGCTCAAATAATGAATTTCTTTGATTTTAAGGACATGTTTGGTGAGATTCACCTTTAAAATATGAATGGTTAATGATTTAAGCAGCGCAGGTGTGTGTGTTTGTACCTGATGGATTGCAGCTGCGTTGGTCTTCATCCAGCTGATACCCGTCTGCACATCTGCACACCACACCTGGAGTCTGCTCTGAGCTGCAGTAGTGCAGACACCCTCCGTTCTTATACCTACAGTCAAACACCTCTGAACACACACACACACACACACACACTAAGAAGTACACTTGCAGCCAGACTAATTTAGGCCCGTGGGTGAAAACGTACAAATATTTTATCGGATGTGCCTTTCGTTTACACGACGACGATGTTTTTGGGGCTTAAAAACGCAAAAAAGTGAAACCACCCTCCAGAGTGGAAATCTTTACAATGCTCCACCGCTGCGTTCCCGTGTAAACGGTAAAAACGCAAAAGTCTGCTTGACAGTGAAGGTTGTACGCAGGCGCGCGGGCTTGGTGTTGTTGTAGTATGCACTCTTAGGCCGTGTGTCCACCAAAGTGTTTTTCCACGCCCCTGGCGTTTGTTTTCAATGGGAGCGCCACGTTTTTTAAACGCCATGAGCGTGACGAGGCGCTGAGCGTTTTTTTCACGCTGAAGCGCCCAGCGTTTTTACTGGTCGCTGGATGTTGAAAAATGTTCAACTTTGGATAAAACGCAGCGCTAATCACTGTCACTTTTTACCCACCCGTCCAATCACAGTGGAGGAGGGGCGGGACTAATACCACACCGACCAACTGTCACAACATTCGACTGCTGCGGATATTCTGTATCATAGCAACGAAACGTCTCAACGGAAAAAACGCTGCGCTGCCAAAACGCTCTCAAGCGCCCAAAGCACGGCGTCTTCAGCAGAGCGTCTAGCGTTTTCAGCTGGCTAAAACGCTTTGGTGGACACACGGCCTTATTCTGCGTTTAGACGAGCGCTTTGGGTGTGAAATCCGCGTGCAGATGGGGACGCAAAAGTGTGTGAAATTCAATGTAGTGTGCACTCCAGGCGGCGAAGGAAGTGTGTCCACCAAAGCGTTTTTAGCCAGCTGAAAACGCTAGACGCTCTGCTGAAGACGCCGTGTTTTGGGCGCTTGAGAGCGTTTTGGCAGCGCAGCGTTTTTTCCGTTGAGACGTTTCGTTGCTATGATACAGAATATCCGCAGCAGTTGAATGTTGTGACAGTTGGTCTGTGTGGTATGAGTCCCGCCCCTCCTCCACTGTGATTGGACGGCTGGGTAAAGTGTGACAGTGATGAGCGCTGCGTTTTATCCAAAGTTGAACATTTTTCAACTCCCAGCGACCAGTAAAAAACGCTCGGCGCTTCAGCGTGGGAAAAACCGCTCAGCACCTCGGTACGCTCATGGCGTTTGAAAAACGCGGCGCTCCCATTGAAAACAATTGAAAACATACGCCAGGCGCGTGGAAAAACGCTTTGGTGGACACACGGCTTAAAAAGTGATAACGCAACGCCACTTTTGCGTTTTCTCTTCAGAATCGTTTCCGTGTAAACATAGCCTCAGTATACTTCAAGTGTGTTGATTAGTTAACTTGAAGTGTGGAACTATGATAGACTTATGAATTGTTTAAAATATAATAATATATACAAATCATATTATATAGTAAATAATTTATTTCAAATATATTTGAACTATGTCAACAGTAGCGTTATAAAACTTAATATGAATATATAAATATGTTAATGGTGTATTTTAAAAGTAGTCAAGTACACTATTTAAAATTTAATTTAAACGTATGATAGCTATCTAAAAGTGCACTAACAATGAACTATTTTTAATGCGTTAAAAGTTTACTTGTAATAAATACATTAATAAAACTCTTCTGTGTATTTTTTCAATATTATTTCTATGCACTAAAAATACATTTTAAATATCAATGGTATTTAGTATACTTTCGCAATTACACTTAAGTACAACTTTTAATTAGTGTATTTATCGTGTATAATTTTTTACAGTTTTTTTTAGCACAAAAAGTAAGAATGTACTACAAATGTACTTCTAGCCTATTTAAGTGTTTTCTCAAGTACACATGGGTTTGTACAATATATTGTATGTATTTTGAAAGTAGACTTCCAATGTATTGTTACAATGATCATTTCCAGCACACAGTTAAAAAATATACCTGAAATTTATTTTTAATACAGTGCAAAGACGTAAACAGAATTTTCACTTCAAATATATTTTTTTAGAAAATATACTAAAGTGCAATTATTTCAAACAAGTGTGTTAAAAGTTGTATTGTTAAAATAGGTAAGCATGATGCTAATTTACTTTTAATATATTTAAAGCTAGTCCATTTTTTTGTTAGTACATCTGCAATGTACTGTTGAAGAACATATTTTAGAAATACAATACAACTTTTTTTTCACCAGGGCATCGGTACCTGTCTGACAGTGGTGTCCACTGTACTGTGGAGGACAGAGACACTCGTGAACACCTCGACTCTCACGGCAGATCCCTCCGTTCACACACGGGTTAAGGCGACACAGGTTACCATCTGAACAACACATTTACCTCAGCAACATCTCTCAGAATGGCTCATTTACAAGAGGAAGACTTCTAAACACTTACTCCGATATCTGTACCAGAACTCCATCTAGAAGAACACGAGAGGTCAGAGAACAGTGATGTCATTCACTCTTAACAATCAAAGTTCCGTTTAGAACTAAAGGTGTTTTTGCAGTGTGATGTCATAGAAGAATTCGAGTAAGTGAAATAAAAATGCAAAACGGATGTATGGAATTTTTTTATCCTTTTTTTTTTTTTTGGCAAGTTATCCCCTGTAAAAAAAAAAGTATTATTATCATTTATGGTATTATGATAAATGTAATAGATAATAGTAGAATACATATGTTTTTCTTGATCTGTTATGCAATAAAAAAATAACTTTTTAAGTAATCCACCTGGATGTACAAAGAACTCAGAAACCAAAACACTGATCTGAAGTACTTGATAAATCATCAGGACCATATCAACGCAAGAACCCTTAAGTCCCCATGAAATCAAAACAGTTTTTTATGGAATATTACTGTATTTATACCTACTGATTTATCAACGCACATCATTATTGTGTTAAATTCATGTATTCTGAACAACTTCCTCTCTTCTCTGATGACGAGGGCGGGGCAACCTGTCACTCACATGAGATCCACCAATAGCAAACCACAATCATCCAATCAATTCCCCACAGACAAAATCAAGCCCCGCCCACATTTTTTCCAGTTCCAGAAGTGTTTCACTCAGATACACGGACCACAACTTCCGTTTCAGGGTGACTTTATAAAGATGAACCAAACAGAAAGTGGAATATTTAATGGAAGCACAAACAGTAAAGAGGTTTAGAGATATGAAAGTGTGACTGTACCGTTTTCTCTTTGCTCTGGAAGATCTCGGCCGCCTCCTCCAGAGAGCACAGCTCCTCGTAACACTCCCGCTCCAGATTCCCCGGCTTCATCTCCTCCAGGAAGACGTTTGCTCTCCGAGTCCTGAGCAGACGCACAGCATCACGCCTGTCCAGAAACACTGAACACACACGGCGGGTTTAATGGAAACACAACCAGCTGACAGCGGTCTGGCAAAGTTCTCTCAAAGCGCCAGGTCTATATAGGCTATATATATATTAGGGCTGTGCAAAAATTAATTGCGATTAATCGCATCCAAAATAAAAGTCTGTGTTTACATAATATATTTTTGTGTGCTGTATATAATTATTTTGTATATATAAATACACACACATGCATGTATATATTTAAGAAAATGTGTTATTCATATATAAAACATTTATATTTATATAATATAGATTATGTATTTATTTATATATACAGAATTTAAGCGCAAATAATTCTTAAATATTTACATGCATGCATAGGTATTTATATATACAAAATAATTATAAACAGCACACACAAATATATTATGTAAACACAGACTTTTATTTTGGATGCGATTAATCGCAATTAATTTTTGCACAGCCCTAATATATATATATAAAATATTATTATTATAATTTCACACTATTTCTAAAACTCTGTAAGACAATTACTAGGTACAGGTGAAACTCGGAAAATTAGAATATCGTGCAAAAGTTAATTTATTTCAGTAATTCAACTGAAAAGGTGAAACTAATATATTATATAGACTCATTACATGCAAAGTGAGATATTTCAAGCCTTTATTTGTTATAAAGTTGATGCTTATGGCTTACAGCTAAAAAAAAATCCCAAATTCAAGGTTTTCATAAGCCATAATCGTCACAATTATGACAAATAAAGGCTTGAAATATCTCACTTTGCATGTAATGAGTCTATATTAGTTTCACCTTTTAAGTTGAATTACTGAAATAAATGAACTTTTGCACCTGTAAATGAACTAAATGTTTCATAAATCATTCCTATTGTCCATCCTTTATGCCTCTCAGTGGGTTTTGCAAATATTTAGCCAATGAAAAGTATACTAAAAAACCTCGTATCTCCATTGGATACTGAAACTGTCAATCAAACATGATAACTCCGCCCCTCCTCCATTCGGCATGGTTTGTTTATTGCATCTTCAGAGGATTCAGCGCTGGATCTGACGCTGTTTGAACGGTGAGTGGCCATTTGGCGAGTTTTATTATGATTATTACGCTGCGGTGGAAGTGTGATTAAGCTTTGACGATTGAATTGAAAGCTGTCCATGAACTTTACAATTGTTCAAAGCATGTGCACATGGATTGATGATGAAGATGATGAGCAGTCTTGCAAGGTGGTTCAAAGTTGGTTAATATGGGCCAAAGATTATTTGGATGTTGAAGTTGTTGATGCAAGAACGCAAGTCTCATTGGGGTCAATTAACAAAGGTGAGCGATGATTGCACTCTGAGACAAACACGTAAAGCGGTTGTGATGTGAATAATGATGGCCGAGATTGAAGACACTGATATTGCAATTGAACGTTTGAAGGTTTCTCGCCTGTGCAAGACTTTGATGGTTGATGGGAGAAATGTTGACAAAGTAAACGAACTTCACCTCGAGCTTAAATGAGTTGTTTTTATCTGATGATGTCAAAGAAAGTGAAAGGATTGGCTGGTTTTAGCCAATGAGGGTGACTTTAACCAAGATCTTGAATGAATTAGAGCTGTGGAGAATCTGATCTGAATCTGAGCCTATTGAAAATGTCTCCAAAGATCAAAATAAACCGAGAATTACACAGAATTATTGGCCTTGAGCTTGAATTTTGGAGACATTCCCAGACAGCAAAAAGTACACCGAGTTAAAGTGAGGACAAAGAACAATATTCTGGAGAGACCTTTTAGGAAATTATGCTTCCTAAGAGACATGTCATGAGAATATGAAGAAACTGAATGAAAGAACTTGAATGAATTATTACAACAGTTGACAATTAGGGGCGGGAATTGTTGGAGCCAATTTCATATTTGGACTCAATGGACTGACTTAATAATTCGAATATAATCAAGTTTAAGTTTGATAATTATTTGCACTGAATGTTATGAATTTTAGAAATGGAGATTTGTGGTTGTGTATTTAGATTGGGCAGGCAAGGAAGTGGGGGTGGAGTTCGGATATATATTTCAGACTGTGTGTGTGTGTGTGCTATGGCTCATGCTTTATTTGCAAAAATGATCTATGCCACGGACAGCGGCTCATCATTACAAAAGTGCCGCTATAACATATAAAGGCTAATGTTTTATGTATTTGAGGAGCAAAAAGTATTTTGCCTATGTTGTTACAATATGAGGTAAATCTGGCCCTGGCGACAAGCCTTGCACTGTAAGTTGTTCGGTCAATGTATACGGTTTACAATGTTTTTTTGTTTTTTTTTACAATGTTTTTATTGCCGACTCTCGAGGCTTTTTAGTTTTAGTTCAGGTAGAATATGTAATTTATGGCTTCCAATAATGCTGTGTTTTCCACCAACTGGCAACCCATGGTGTCGAATTTACTATTGGGAGAATTGGCAGTGGAAGGGATCGCACAGACCCCTTACATCCTCGACTTGTAAAATTGGGTTAAGTTTTCCAAGTAGTTACCTCTACTAAGAGGTAGTTTTCCCAACTCTGAAATTATGAGCTAATTTACTTTTCCACAAGATTTCTAAGTTAACTCATCTAACTACATTTTACAAGTTTTGCAAAATGATCAAATTCCCTGTGATTCGTAATTTTCTCTAACGTTCACATGACCAAAAAAACACCTACACTCTCAGAAAAAAAGGTGCAAAAGCTGTCACTGGGGCTGTACCTTTTCAAAAGGTAAACTTTTGTCCATTTTATGTGCTAATATGTACATTTTAGGTGCTAATAAGTACATTTTAAGTGTTAATAAGTACATTTTAGGTGCTAATATATACATTTCATGTGCTAATATGTACATTTTAGGTGCTAATCAGTACATTTTAGGTGTTAATATGTACATTTTAGGTGCTAATATGTGCATTTTAGGTGCTAATCAGTACATTTTAGGTGTTAATATGTACATTTTAGGTGCTAATATGTACATTTTTAGTGTTAATATGTACATTTCAGGAGCTAATATGTCCATTTTAGGTGTTAATATGTACATTTCAGGAGCTAATATGTCTATTTTAGGTCCTAATATGTATATTTTAGGTGCTAATATGTATATTTTAGGTGCTAATATGTACATTTTAGGTACTAATATGTACATTTTAGGTGCTAATATGTACATTTTTAGTGTTAGTATGTACATTTCAGGAGCTAATATGTCTATTTTAGGTCCTAATATGTATATTTTAGGTGCTAATATGTACATTTTAGGTGCTAATATGTACCACTAAGGTACCAATATGCAGCCTTTGGGTACAAAAGTGTACCTTTTGAAAAGGTACAGCCCCAGTGACAGCTTTTGTATCTTTTTTTCTCAGAGTGTAGAAGTTTTGAACAGTCTGAGAACATTCAATAATAACGTTTCAATAACTTATCGGGAACGATAGCAAACCTGGAGACTGGAGCGCTGAGGTCAGATGTATTAAAAGGAGAATCACTATCCTGCTCATGGATTCAGACATCAAGAAGCCGCAGCAGATCTGATGTAAATCAACCTGTTTGATACATGAATGCAAAGAAAAATGACCTCCATCTGCTGGTGTAAAAGACACATGAACTGTAGCTTACAGTAGATATCAAGTCATAAGTTTAGTTTGAAGTAAACCTTTGAATAGTTTGAATTTTTAAACGGTATTTATTCAACCACAGATCTTTATATATTTCTCTATTAGTAGTATTCAGAGTATGTACTCGCCTTGTTGAGTTCACAGGGTTTAGGACAGTCCAGAGGATTTAAATGTTTCTGAAGACCTCTAATGAAACTGTTATAATGACAAACAGCAGCAAACCGTTTTAAAACACTCAATCACTATTTGTACAACATCGACCTTTAGACAGGCGGTGTTTACACACACAAACTTGATTTAGTCAGTATAAACACGTTTGTGCAATAATATGAATAACGAGTAAAAAAACACACCAGATCACTATGAAAATGTTTACTAACCAGAGATCCTCTATCATGGTCAAACAAACATGCATTTTGTCACTTTCTTGAACTTAATGAGATTTAATCTGTTTGTTTGTTTGTTTTTTCCCTGAAAAAATCACAAGTGAGATTTGGGCAAAAGAATGTTTTAATTCACATTCTATTCTACAAGTAGTTACATTATTTACAGTATTTAAAAAACAACCAGACAAATGAACAAAATAAACAGTGAATGTGTTAATATCATCAAACCTTTCTCAGTAATCCTTCATAAAACACACAGGACAATGCAACTACCTGTTTGAAAGCAGCACCCGATTGAAGATTATTTCCTGTAATTCTGGTTTAGTACGTCATGATGAGACCTACGCTATCGATTAGACTCTATCTGTAGTGTTTTAGAGGTAGACTACGGCTCTAGTCAGTAGTGTCGGATTAGGATTGTTAAGACAGATCAAAGTAAGACTTTTTCTTTCAAATGAAAGCAAACGCACATGAGGACGACACACAGCTCATCTGTCCTGCAGTAATACTGTCAAACTGAAGTCAAAGGTACTGAGGCTGCTTCTGATTGGAGGAAATTGATCATTCTTGCATTAAATCACACACGTATTTCTATGGAAGCTTATTTCTGCTACGAAAACAAAACACAGCTCTGACTGTAGTTTATATCTCACAATTCTGACTTTTTAAAAAGAATTGTGGTGTATGAAACTCTGAGGAAAAAATGTAAGTAATTACTTTTTCTTTTTTTATTATTCCACCGTGAATCCCCTCCCTCCCAGATGTAAACTCAGAATTCAGAGAAAAAAGCTATATCTTACAAATTCTGAATTTATATCTTACAATTCTATTGTTTTGGAAAAAAGACGTTTTACGAGTAAATTACGAGTCAGAAAAAAAGTCAGAATTGTGAGATAAAAAGTAACAAACAGTAACCTTGGCGGAAACAAATAAGTCAAGTCGTCAGAATTCCAAGATGTAAACTCAGAATTCCGAGAGAAAAAAAATTTGCAAATTATAAATTTAGAATTCCATGAAAAAACTGCGAGAAACTTAGTATTCTGAGAAAAGTCAAAATTCCAAGAAAAAAACTCAGAATTCTGAGATGTAAACTCAGAATTCCGAAAAAAGGGTCAGAATTCCGCGATGTAAACTCAGAATTCCGAAAAATTCGTCAAATTCCGAGATGTAAACTCAGAATTCCGAAAAAAGGGTCAGAATTCCGCGATGTAAACTCAGAATTCTGAGAAAAGTCAAAATTCCGAGAAATTAGTAAGAATTCCGAGATGTAAACTCAGAATTCCAAAAAAAAAGAGTCAGAATTCCGAGATGTAAAAGGTGCATTCGGCATGTCGGAATTACCGTAATTACGAGATTCTGACTTGTAATTACAAGTTCTAACTTGTAAACTGCAGATTTATTATAGTGTTGCTATTGAAATGCATAATTCTGTGTTCGAGGACTTGAGCAGCTCCGAATAGAATAGAATTAAAGGTAATTACGACATGCTGTGAATGCAGCAAAACTCGCAATTGTGAGAAGTTGTGATATAAAAAGTCGTAATTAATTACCGTAGCGGAAACAAGCTTCCATTTATTCCTTTTGCGATTCCAGTGTCCTAGTACAAAACAGCAATTACCGTGGCGGAAACGAGCTTCCGCCAATATTCCTTTGTGTTTCCGGTGTTCAAAGCAATAAAATTGTAGTACAAAACAGCCGTATTGCTCTAATCAAACTAAGCATCATGCACATTCAGATATTTTCTCTTGGGTTAGAGAAATACAGTAGATCACGTGATTTTAAGTGTATTTGTCCCTTTTCTGCCAGTTTATCAAAAAATGAGCTAACAAGCAACCAGGCAATATCAAAAACAAGGGCGTCGGGGATGTTAACAGAGCAGTTTTAGTTGGCATCAGCTGAACTCAGGTTATATAAAAGAGTTTTAATGTTGGCGTCAGACGAGGGATCCGGCTCGGCTCTGCGCCGGCACCATGACGGGGACGGCGCCCATGCGCTCGAGCGTGGCTTGGCTGACGGCGTACGAGTGCGTGTGTGTGTGCTGCTGTCCGTGAGCCACCGCCGGTGTGGTGGTGACGGGGGGGCGCAGGCTCAGCGAGCCGTTGCTGCGGGTCATGACGGGTGGCGAGGGGGCGGAGTTAGTCGTGACCACTAGAGTCTTGGGCGGAGGCAGGGTGTGGCTGCCGTTAGCGTACGCGGGGCGCGGCGGGGCGTTCGAGCCGCCGGTGAAGGTCTGCCGCGTGTCGCCGTTGTAGCGCGTGTAGGAGTTGGTGTCGTAGTTGGGTTTGGGGTTGTGCCAGTAGCGGCTGTTGTAGGTGTTGGTGGACGTGAGCGTGTCGTTCTCCGAGGACGAGGCGTCCGCCTGGAACGCTTTGACTGATGATGATCTCTTCGGTGGGAGATCGTCCTCCCTGTGTGAGGAAGTCAGAATCAGATCATCACTCCCTGCCCAAAAACATGTGTACACAAGTCCATTGTATCAAATTATTAATTTCAATGTAAAGCAACTTAATATAAAGTGAGACCTTTTTTATGTATTACAAAATATGCATGTACAAACAAACATTTCCGTATTTTGAGAGTTTTTTGGGATTATGTCATTAGCAGTGCTTCTTTGGAGTGGGCGGAGCTTTTTTCGACGCTTTGATTGGTGGAATTGTCTGTGCAGAATCATGGGTAATGTAGTTTTCCCACCATGAGAACATGCTTGTTTTAAAACGAATCTACCATCGATTAACATCCTCCTGTCTTTAAAGATAGTTATCGTCGTTATAAAAATTTTTACTTCCTGTTGCGCTCTATTACATTTCTAAACTTGCGTACATCAGGGAATTTTAAAACTGGGGATTTCTGGGAATATACAGTGTAATTTACTAAGCTAATCAATTAGATACTGAGCGAGTCGTTCTTTTTAGTCACTGAATCAATGCATCGTTCGGTAAATGTTTCTGACTGACAGTGTTGTTATTGTTAACTAAAACTATTAAAACGATATGATATGAAAAATGATCAAATAAAATAAATGATAACTGAAATAAGTAAGGGTTAATGGACGACGGACGCCTCGAAGGGCATTAACCCGCTTATACCATGGTCACTTGCCACATAACACATTTTTAAAACATTAGTTTATATTTTAATTAGTTCAAAGTTTTTACAAACAATAACTTGGTTTCCCTGGTTACGCCTTAGCAACCGGAGATATTTATAGTGTGCTCAGCTCGTAGGTCCCTTCAGTTTCGCTAACTAACTCACGAGCCAGAAAGCTAACGTGTTTTTTTCCTAAAAGTTAGGCTTGTCTAGCCATGGGCGTTACACTTTCGGTTTTTTTTTTATAATCTGATCTCATGAAATGTCGTATGTATGACACGCCAATTAGTATTTCCATTTTTGGCGTGCTTTTCAGCGTGTTTATGAACGCCATTGACTTAACGTTACATCTATGACCTACCCCAACCCCGTCCCTAAACCTACCCGTCACTGGGGTTACCGTTTATGAGTCTTCCCCTACCATCCAAGGAAAAAATAATCGCTCCCCAGATGTAGATCTACATTTCGCTTCGCTTCGCTCGGACATTTAACGGCGTGTACATGCGCGCGGAATCACTCGGACATTTAACGGCGTAGACGCATACACGCGGATAGCTCAAAATGCGAATAGATAACACGCCACTTGACTTGAAAATGGCGTGTACACTCAAAAAAATAATATGTTGGCTTTAATTAATTTTAATTTGTCAACAGGTTCCACATAAATGGATTACGTTAAACAAACATAATTTGTTTACGTAACTTCAACATAATGGAATTGTGTAATTTTAAATTATCCGACGTGTAGTCTCAACGTGAATTTTTAAAGGCTTCCTGTCATGATTCAAAGGCATCCATTTATATTTCATTTGATTCAGTGACATTTAATTAAATTAATAGAGTTTAGCTAGCTATTTGCTAGCAGAAGCACATATTCGCATCTTGAGTGCTAAGATTTACATGCTCCTTCATTCAAAGCAATAGAAAATAATGAAATCAGTCGACAGCCAAACAAAATACTCCACAATGGTAACCCACTGTAATTTAAATGGTTTAATAATTCCAATGTTATTAAACACTATTACACACTATCAAGTCTTCCCCTTTTCTAAATTTCTAAAAAAAAACAAAATAACACTTAATTTTAACATTTATTCTCTCTTAATTCAACCATATGCAAAGCATGCTGGGAACTAAAAGCACTGCCCAGTTTCAGTTGAGGCAACACAAATCAATCATGTTATCCAACACAAACGGATTAAGTAAACTTAAGTTGTTCGTAGATTTAAGCAGATTGAACACAATAAAATTAAGTTCGGGCAAAACGGCAGTCGGCTCGCACTATACCGCCACCCTCTGGATGTGCACATTTTTTACTTAACATAAATGGTTTGTGTTTAGACAACACATTAGGATTTTGTACTGTTAAGTTGAGACACAATTACATAGACCTTAAAGGATTAGTTCACTTTTGAAAAAACTTTTGCTGATAATTTACTCGCCCCCATGTCATCCAAGATGTCCATGTCTTTCTTTCCTCAGTCGAAAAGAAATTAAGGTTTTTGATGAAAACATTCCAGGATTTTTCTCCATATAATGGACTTCAATGGGAACCGGATGATTCAAGGTCCAAAAGAGAGTTAATAACAGTTTCAGATGCAGCTTCAAATGTCTTTAAACGACACCAGACGATGAATAAGGGTCTTATCATGCGAAACGATCGCTTATTTCAAAACTTATTCCAAAAATGTAACTTTTCTAAGGACAAATGCTAGTCTTGCTCTATTCTGTGAGGCGCGTTTGCAACGTCACGTATTACTTAATTACGTTCAAAAGGTCACGGGCGAAGTAGCCGAAAGTACAGAGTCAGTGTTTACAAGTTGAACGCATAGGTTGAACGTGCAAACTAACTCAAACGCCGTTTACAAAAAAAGGAATTAAAAGGAAAAACAACGATGTCGGACGATTTTGATTCTGTACTTCCGGCTACGTCGCCCGTGACCTTTTGAACGTAATTACGTATTACGTGACGTTACAAATGCGCCTCAGAGAATATAGCAAGGCTAGCATTTGTCCTTAGAAAAGTTACATTTTTGGAATAAGTTTTGAAATAACCGATCGTTTCGCATGATAAGACCCTTATTCATCGTCTGGTGTCGTTTAAAGACATTTGAAGCTGCATCTGAAACTGTTATTAACTGTCTTTTGGACCTTGAACCGTTTGGACCCCATTGAAGTCCATTATATGGAGGAAAATCCTGAAATGTTTTCATCAAAAACCTAAATTTCTTTTCGACTGAGGAAAGAAAGACGTGGACATCTTGGATGACATGGGGGTCAGCAAAAGTTTTTTCAAAAGTGAACTAATCCTTTAATAGAAAAAAAAAACATTTAAAGTCAAAAAACACAATTATTATAAGTAAACTATATATAAATATATTATGTAAAGTGCACAACCTCCCTAGTCAATTTTTTTGAGTGTATGTTTACGCAAAAGTCATGATGTCATATTGATGTGTCCTCTGTCACTTTTTAATGGACACCCTGCAGCCAATCAGAATCGAGCATTCACCCAGACCATGGTATTCAAACAAAAACTGAAAGCTAATTAGGAATGATAATTAAACAAATGACACAAAATGTAATTCTAATTTGTAATAAATACTATAGTAATGTATAAATAATACTAAGATAAATGAATTAGCGTCGGCACACAAACAAGCTTTGTGAGTGCAGTCACCTGATCTCGTTGGGGATTTCCTCCTCCTCGTATTTGTTCTTGTTCCTCCAGTAGAAGAGCGTGACCAGCACCAGTAGAGCGCAGATGAGCAGCGCCAGAACCCCAGTGACCACGGTTCCTGCGATCAGACCCACGCTCTGAGGCTGCGCTGTGACACGCCAGAGACGAGACAGTCAGACCAACGGCAGGGTTTGATACGAGCTGTAGAACGAGTGTGTGTGAGACTTACGGGCCACGACCTGCAGGTTGAGGACGCAGGTGCTCTTCCCGATGGCGTTCGACGCCGAACACTGATACAGTCCAGATGTGCTGGTGCTGATGTTTCTCAGCGTCACCGTACCCTGCATCTGGTCTGAGGAGCACAAATCAAATCACGCTCTATAGAAATCTTCTCTGGTCCTGACGTCAAAATATTGACACCTGACACAAGCAGATACAACACTGATAAAGGTGTTTATGAGGAATTAAGGTTTTACTTAAAGGGGACATATCATGCAAAATCCACTTTTTTAGCCCTTAAATGCATTTTGTTGTATATTTGGAGTGTTTATAAGTACAGAAAAGATGAACTTATTCTCTTCAGGTGCTTCGTTTATATCTTTATATTCTGTTTTGGTCATATTTTTCAACCTGTTCAGAGTTTTCTGTTTTCTATGACGTTTTTTGAACTACAGCGTCTCCGTATTTGCAGTATAAGGACATCGACTACCGGCCCAACACTTCCAGCAATCCGCCATTATTATTTCTCGCTCCGATTTTGTAGTCCGAGCTCAATGATGTAGAAGTTACGAGAGGGCAAGTCAAAATGTTCGGTTGTTGGATGTAGTGACCTGATTCCACTTCAACAACCTCCGCCAGTAACGTTATACAGAAGGGTTTGCCGATCGACTTCGTCTGAATGAGAGGTAACGTTAAATTCCTTCTATCTTTGGAGACGACGAACAGAGCATTTCCATAAGCTGTAAATATCGTTAATAAAAATAAAGTAGTTTCCTTTCTTAAAACACATGGTGGTCATGGTTTAGCAGTACCTTTGTCTTTCTTTGTTTTAGTTTTGAAGTAACGTTACACGTCTGCAGTATTATTGTTCTTGAGTTTCATCAATGCTCATTTAGCTGCTTTTCTAAACGTATCATATTATAAATACAGATTGTTTGTGGTAAGATTAGACCGTAGTCATTTATCTTGTCAGTGTGCTTGTTTTAACAAGAGAAATAGTCGACTTTCACTAATAACACAAAACAGTTAACTCACATACCAATACATCCATATGATGAAGAGGTTGTTCTGCAGGTTCGTCGTCGTCTTTATCGACTCGCTCGCTCTGGCTCGAATATGTTCGGCTTGATGGACAAGTCTTCTGTTGTCGACATTTTATTAACGTGTGAATAAAAATGTTCTTTGAAGGTATCGTATATAATCGTATATCTCTAATCAAACTACAATAATGGCCGAACGGGCTCTCCTTTTTATTTAAAGGGGCCGCTTTGAAACGGGTCGCTCAAAGACGCACATCAGAAAAGGGGCTTGTGGAGCTTTAATAATGAGGAATTCAGACCCAAGCATTGCAGTTCTATATAGACCACAACGGTAAGATTTATATGTAAAAATAAATGATTTAAAAGCATGATATGTACCCTTTAAACCGTTTCAATGGAAAAATAAAAAGAAAGTTTAAGCATTTATGTGACCTTAAATGTTCTTGAGACTCAGTAACATTATACAGACTCTTTATTTAAATGCCATTAAAACACGGAGTCATTCCTGTGAGTCGATGTCGCAGTAACACGTATGGCCTCTAGATGGCAGTGCAACCACAGTTTCTGCTCATCTCTGTTCCTGTTCACAGCTGTGAAAGCTTTTTGAGGCCAAAGCAGATTGATTTATTAAGAATATAAATATAACAGCCTTCTTTAGGATACGGCTACTGTACCGTTAACATCCACAGACGTCTGACGAGGGAATTCAAGAGTTCGTTTGAGTGTGTTTTCTGTTCCAGCATCTGTGAACCGGTCCCTAAAGAAATGATTTATTAGGTCTGGTGGGACTGTTCCTGTCAACTAAAACTATTAAAAATCTTCCTTGTTGATTGAAATAAAGCTGAAATAAAATTAGATGGAAAAAACGTAAACTGACAAAAGCACATAAAATAACTAAAATATAGTGCTGTCAAACCGATTAATCGCAATTATTAGTATTTACATATTCATATATACATAAAACCTTGTTCATATAATATGTGTGTATATATTGTTGTGTGTGTATGTATATATATATGAAGAGTTCAGATGCAAAAGCCTCTAAGTGCCATTTGAATTTTTTTTCTAAAATTATCATTTTTATCAAGCTTGTATATTTAAAGTTCAGTAATTTCACTTAAATTACAATGATAATTACCTATTAATTGTTATTTAAGTGAAATTACTGAACTTAAATATACAAGCTTGATAAAAATTATCATTAAAGAAGAAAATTTCAAATGGCATTTAGAGGCTTTTGCATCTGAACTCTTCATATATATATAGTGTATTAGTGTAAGATAAAACCTGAAAATAGAAAACTAAAAGCTAAATAAAAATGTTTTAAATGATATAATATAAAATGAATAATACTAAAACAACACTGCTGGGTGACTGTGGAAGTGTTTTAAATGTTAAACGTCACATCAAACTCTTATTACTACAAAAAGAGCAAGAAAGCGCTTGTTTTCATCACATGACGTCTTTAGATGGCAGAACGATCGTATCATTATTCATAGAAATGATTTATGAAGAACTTGAAGTGTTGAAGCGAACCGATTGCACAGTGTTATGAACATGAATTTTGATTTTGACAGTAAAAAACCTCTTGAAATCCCAAGGCGTGTCTGTGGTGATTGTGTAGCCGTATTCTAAAGCCGTCACACTGTTCGGAGAGAGAGCGGGATAAGTCACCACACACACACACACACACACACATACGCGGGTGACCGGGGTGGGCAGAGGTCACGCCACACCATGAGTCAAGAGCTGTGGATTTACCGGAGAATGTGGGGCAAAACGGGATCCCCACGGGCAGGGGTTTAGTACCTTGCATGGCATTGTGGGGCAGTTTGGGCACCGACTCCAGCTTCTCCCAGGCGTAGGTGGGCGTCGGGATGCCCTCGTCCGAACCACACAACAGCATCACATCACTGCCCACGTCCAGAGATCCCTGAACCCGACAGGACGGGGTGGACGGAGGAACTGCGGAGGGAGACATAGATCAACTTTAGTTTAACTAACTTAGGAGTGTGTGTGTGAAAACAAAACAAAACACTTTTTTATTAATTTTAACATTTCACTTTAATCCCGGCAGCAGTTTGTTTGGTGTCTTGAATTTTGGTGCATTTTTTTTGACCCACGCCATTAATTTCCGGCATTTACATTCATATACTTGTGTGAGTGTTTTGGCCAAAATAACCAGCAGAATAACTTTATGCCCATAGACAAAAATGTGGCCCTGTGAGGTCCTGTTTACATTTACATTTATGCATTTGTTAGATGCTTTTATCCAACATAAGCAATTCGTCACAGAGCCAACATTATTTATAGTGTGCAATCTGCTAGGTTTGTGTACAAAAAACAGCATGCGAAACTGTATATATTATGCAACACTAAACACCATTGTCACATAACCATATGATATTCAATCTGAATTTAATCAGTAAAATTATGCATGAATATCTTCTGAAAAAACACTAACTTTTGAGTGTGCATTCACACACTTCTATCCCAGAAGGCAATGGGAGAGGACTTGTGAATGGCACATGCCAATGCATGCATACTTCTCAATCATGCAGTTACTATTATCTAGTATGCAATTTCACACAAATGTTATCATCATCAACTAAAGGTATTAAACATTTCAGTTAATTTAAATAAAGCTTAAGCAAAACATAACAAAACAATAATAATCATAATAATAATAATAAAAACATTAGATTACTCAATTTTGCCTGTGTAACTCACTAAAACAAGTGTAAGTTGAAGCCCTAAAATTAATAACTGCAAATAAATACATCTGAACTAAAACTAAAATTAAACCTAAAAAATAAAATGTATAAAAAAACAATGCAAAATTACGAAAAATTAAACTGAAATTAAAACTGATATAAAATATAAAAATAAATGACCATTTATCGGCTGATACCAACAACATTAAAAATGAAAATTTTTTGGGCGATACCGATAACATTAAAAATATCCATTTATCTGCCGATGCCGATAACATTAAAAATGAACATATTTTGGGCCATATCGATTACATTAAAAATGAACATTTTTTGGGCGATACCGATAACATTAAAAATATCCATTTATCGGCCAATGCCGATAACATTAAAAATGAACATATTTTGGGCCATATCGATTACATTAAAAATGAACATTTATCGTTTGATACTGATAACATTAAAAATTACGAATTATCGTCTGATACCGATAACATTAAAAATAAAATGAACATTTATCGGCCGATACCGATAACATTAAAAATGAACATTTATCGTGCGTCACTGATAACATTAAAAATGAACATTTTTTGGGCCATACCGATAACATTAAAAATGAACATTTATCGTTTGATACCGATAACATTAAAAATGAAACAAACATTTATCGGCCGATACCGATAACATTAAAAATGACGATTTATCGGCCGATACCAATAACATTAAAAATGAAACGAACATTTATCAGCCGATACCGATAACATTAAAAATGACGATTTATCGCCCGATACCGATAACATTAAAAATTAACATTTATCAGCCGATACCATTAAAAATGAACATTTATCGGGCGATACGATAACATTAAAAATTAACATTTATCAGGTGATACCGATAATATTAAAAATGAACATTTATCGGCCGATACCGATAACATTAAAAATGAACATTTATCGGCCGATACCGATAACATTAAAAATTAACATTTATCAGGTGATACCGATAATATTAAAAATGAACATTTATCGGCCGATACCGATAACATTAAAAATGAACATTTATCGGCCGATACCGATAACATTAAAAATTAACATTTAGCAGGTGATACCGATAATATTAAAAATTAACATTTATCAGGTGATACCGATAATATTAAAAATGAACATTTATCGGCCGATATCGATAACATTAAAAATGTCCATTTATTGGCCGATACCGATTACATTAAAAATGAACATTTATCGGCTGATACCGACAACATTAAAAATGAAAATTTTTTGGGCGATACCGATAACATTAAAATATCCATTTATCGGCCGATATCGATAACATTAAAAATGTCCATTTATTGGCCGATACCGATTACATTAAAAATTAACATTTATCGGCTGATACCGACAACATTAAAAATGAAAATTTTGTGGGCGATACCGATAACATTAAAATATCCATTTATCGCCCGATATCGATAACATTAAAAATGTCCATTTATCGGCCGATACGATAACATTAAAAATGAACATTTATCGTTCGATACTGATAACATTAAAAATGACGATTTATCAGCCGATACCGATAACATTAAAAATGAAATGAACATTTATCAGCCGATACCGATAAAATTAAAAGTGACGATTTATCGGCCGATACCGATAACATTAAAAATTAACATTTATCAGGTGATACCAATATGGTGGCCGATATACCGTACATCATCCCTACAATGAACCAGTACCCCGCGCTTGCCGAGACTCACCCAGCACAGTGAGGCCGATGACCCCGATATTGCGCCCCCCGCGGTCCGGGAGGTTATTGACCAGGCACTGGTACGTCCCGGTGTCAGACAGCTGTGTGTTATTGATGAAGATTGAGGCACTTGTGCTGGGCATAGTGGCCACGAAACCCACACGCCCGTTCATGTGATTGGCTAAACTGAAGACCTGTCCTCCCTGATAGATGATCACCTGTCAACAAACACACACATAACATTATATTAATAACTGAAAGTTCAGATAAGTTTTCACTTATAAAATTCTTCAGAATAATGTGATCAGATGAATCATTCTCAATAAATCCAGAAACATGAAATTAAGAAAGCATTTCAGTCTGTTGTTAAAAAGCGAGTGCTGACAGGTGTACATATGATTGATATAATTATGACTGAGGATTATCGCGATTAATCGCATCCAAAATAAAAGTTTGTGTTTACATAATATATGTGTGTGTAGTGTGTACAATTAATTTGTATATATAAATACCCACACATGCATGTATATATTTAAGCAATATGTGCATGTATATATTTATTTACAATTAATATTATATATAAATATAAATATTTGATATATTAATAACACATTTTTCTTAAATATATACAAATTAATTATGCACACTCTACACACATATATTATGTAAACACAAACTTTTATTTTGGATGCGATTAATCACGATACTGAGGATGCATTTTATTTTGTAAAATATTAATTATTGAACAATGTAGATATGCAGCATTATGAGAACAGCTCGGGCACTGTAGAGCAGTTCGTAGATTATTCAACACACACACACACACACACTATAAAGCATTTTTAAAGGACTTTGATCTTTGTTAGAAGCTTCTGTGATCCGCAACATTAAAAGGAACCTGCTTCACTCAGTGTGTGTGTGTGTGTGTGTGTGTGTGATCATGGGAGTTTCAGAGGCCTTCGAGAGGCTGAAGGACAGAGAGGCCCCTGTAACACACACACACACACACACACACACACACACACACTGAGAGAGAGTTGACAGTGTTTTCAGCACCAGTAAATGATGCTCTCATGGACTCTGCGCTTCTTATACACAAATGAACAGGCAGCGCTTCAGCTGAGATGAATCAAGACAAGGCCCGCAGCCAGTGTGTGTGTGTGTGTGTGTGTGTGTGAGAGAGAGATATGAGCTGTGTAATAGGAAAAGATGGGAGTGATGTATAGGTATACATGACAGAGAAAGCAAAATGAGTGTTGCTGTAATGCATGTTATCAGTCGTCTAAGTCTTCATCTCAGTGTCTCAGTAGTGCACATCATGGATGAGGCGTTAGTGCTGTTTAATAGCAGGGTTATTATCAGACTCAACTAAAAACATTCAAAATATTCTCGTTACTTCAAAATATGAAGAGTTTGGTTCCAAAACGCTATAAATCCATTTTGATGAATTTGAGTAAAACTGCGTTTTCTTTAGCAAGAAAATGGGAAGATGAAAACCACTATTTTCGGTTTTAAATTTTCACATAGCATTTGTAGGTTATAATAACAATAAAAAAATGAAATCCAGGTTTTGATTTCCAAAGATTTATTATAAAAAAAGATCGTTTTTTTCCCCCAAAATGCAATAAATCCAATAATTATTATTATTTTTTTTTCAAAATGCAATTAATCAAAATAAAATTTTATACACATTGAATTTCTTGTGCATACTATAAATCCATTGCTTTAATATAACAATATTCGGTAACACTTTAAGGGTTCATGTCATGAATTATCATGAATTCATGGATAAATAATTCATATTAATATCATCAGGAACTAACAACGTTTTTTTTAACAGTTCAACGTTTGAACTGACTTCATGGATGAACAAAACATTAACTAAGACGAGCACATCATCATGAATTATGATTTATTAAGCATGATCTAACGATATCGCTGTTGTCAACCTTGGGACGTCGCCGCTGAACTTTTTTGACGGCGATCAGCTGTAAACTGGCTCGGTCCTGCTCGGTTTTCGTTGACTTTGAATAAAACAACTGAACGTTTTCCAAAAGATCCTCTGGGGTCAGTGTGTCAGCGTGACAGAAGTTTGATGCTGTCGTGTGAGAACAAGCAACAGCCGGCATTTCCTCCTCCCGAGTCCATCTTCTTCCTCACGATTCGATTTCGATGTCACGTTTATTCGTGCAGGATGCCTTACCCTCCGCAGGTTCACCAATGCTGTCAAAATTATTCATTTTTTTGTTTGTTTGTTGATCGAAAGGACAAAATAGAGAAAACCTAGGAAGCCGGGTTAGTTAAAGCGCTGCCGTTACTGTTTACATTGCGTGGAATGGTGCGTTGTGATTGGTTTAGCGGATATGTGGCATTTTGCAGAAAAGGGAGACTGGCGTTTGTCGCGGTTTGGAAGGAAAGGGAGAAAACATTACATAATAACACGGCGGATATCCCATTTTACGTAAAATTAAACATTGTTTTGTATCTGGTCGGTATTGAAAAGTCAGATTTTTGCAGTAACTCATTTTTTTTTTTAAAATGGCGTTTATCACGTTTTGGAACCAAACTCTTCATATGTTAATAGAACTAATATTATCAAAGATGAATAAAAACTGTAACATGTATTGCTCATTGTTAGATACATTAACTAATGAACCTTATTGTAAAGTGTTATCAATAATTCTAACAAGGACAAAATAACAGGAGAGAGACGGAAACACACACACACACACACACACACAGAGAGAGAGAGAGAGAGAGGAAACTAAGCAGATTTCCACACACTGAAGAGGAAAGGAGGTCATCAGTACAGATGGTCATCAGCGTTAAGAATGGACTTGGCTCCAGCCACATCATTAAGCCCCACCCCATAACGCATCATATGCCCCGCCCTACATTCAGCCGTCATTCTTGACCATCACATAACGTATTCAGTCGTCGTAACATGAGTTTGTCGCACATAAATGTGATGGAATAAAATAATATTCTGACATGAAATATATTTAGTGAATAAGTTTGGACACCCATGCTAAAGTTGCCTAAAAAGAGGAATAAAAAATCATCTTTTGGATGTTGATCTTAATGCCTTAATTAGAAAAATGAGGAAAACTCCAACCTTTAAGGACACCAATTTTCTTTGTGAATGAATAATGTGTTGTAAATAAATAAATGTTTTTCCTTAAAATACAGGGTGCATAAGTCAGGACACCCCTATGTTAAATTCCCATAGAGTCAGGAAGATTTTTATTTTTAAAAGCCAGTTATTTCATGGATCCAAGATAATATGCATCCTGATAAAGTTCCCTATTAAAATATCCCCACATCATCACACACCTTCACCACACCTAGAGATTGGCATGGTTTTACTTCAGTTAGCCTAATAGCTGGTTTGATTTGCATTGAAAGATGATCTTATGGAAAGTACCCTAGGTGTGGTGGAAGGTGTGTGATGATGTGGGGATATTTTAATAGGGAACTTTATCAGGATGCATATTATCCTGGATCCATGAAATAACTGGCTTTTAAAAATAAAAATCTGCCTGACTCTATGGGAATTTAACATAGGGGTGTCCTGACTTATGCACCCTGTATTTTAAGGAAAAACATTTATTTATTTATGATACATTATTCATTCACAAAGAAAATTGGTGTCCTTAAAGGTTGGAGTTTTCCTCATTTTTCTAATTAAGGCATTAAGATCAACATCCAAAAGATGATTTTTTATTCCTCTTTTTAGGCAACTTTAGCATGGGTGCCAACACTTATTCACACCACTGGATGATTACTACGAATAAATGCATAAACTTGCAAATGAAACGCTGAACTTGTACACACACACACACGCACATCTGCTGTATGTCCTAATCTGCCGCTGAACACAGAAGATTACAGACGTGGGGAGAGTGTGATCTGATCAGAATCAGGTCAGAAGGTCGACATATGCTAAAGACACGTCAGCATAAATCCCTATGAAGCACTGAGCATGCTGGGATACAACCGCCATACATGTGCAACTAGCAAATGATTTTTTATTTATTTTTTATTTGACAGGGACAATGCAAACAAACATAGTGTCAAGATCAAGCATGTCACTGAAGTGTTGCATATAAAGTTTATAGCTAATTTTCAACTCCTGTCCCTGGAAGGGCTTTTATACACAATACAATTTACATGATTAGCTACTTAAAAAAAAATAAAATAAATAATAATAATAATAATAATAATAAAAATAAGCATACATACATATCATATACAACTCTAATAATTAAATGTAGTTAAAAATGAGTACAGTTTTGGTTTAGTTTTAAGCAATTTTTCAGCCTGGAAATGAACATCTTGAAGTCTGACACAGTCTTTATGCACTTCCATTGATGCTAAACAAATCACATGACCTTGATTATGGATATTTATTCATTTTGCATGAAATGTCTGAATGTTTGGAAGTCGAAAGGTATCCATTAACACACTTTCCCTTCTTCACGCTGGTCATGTTGAGTGCAATGCATTGTTGGATACAGTATTGCAGTGTGTTCTCTGCACATTTTGGCGTGTGTGTTAGTCATCCAGGTATTGCATGCGTACAGAAATATTGCATTCATTGCACAGTATACAAATAAATGCACATGTGGGTGTATGTGTATGCATACATGTGTTTGCATCTGTGTGTGTGTGTGTGTTTTGTGCTTGTGTAACGAGCAGCTGCTGTGTTCTGGCCTGTGCAGCTCTGGGTTAATTAGTGCAGAAGATCGTTTGTTGTGCGTGTTAGGTTAAAACAGTTGGGGGCAGGTGTGTGTGTGTGTGTAGGTCACATACAGAGTTACAGGCAGGTAAGTGTGTGTGCGCTCAGGTTATCTTCACACAGTTCTATATAGGTAAGTGTGTGTGTGGGAAGCAGGTGAATGAGGTTTGGCCTGCAGTCATTCATGAAAATAAATCAGACGGAATCAAAGGATAGAGGCGATAAACCTGCGCTCTGCGTTTGAAGCCCACACACACACACACACACACACACACGTGTGTGCTGTTACATGTGCCGCTTTACCCACAGGCCATTGTGCATATGCTGGAGTTTGGATGGTCCAGTAAAGATGACAGGGAGGAAAGTGAACTTCAACGCATCTCAAACGAACCCAAGTGTGTGTTACACCTGAGTATTACTGCACACTTCACTACACAGGTGTGATTACATCAGAAGTGGCTCATCCAATCAGATCTTAGCACAGTTTAGAAGCGGCACCTGAGGTGTGGATTCTTGACCTCTCAAGTGTAAAATCAGCTACAGTTGCAAACACACACACACACGTGATGCACGAAACAGCGTTTCAGCACTTCTCTAATTAGCTATGAACAACAGTGTGCAGTTCGTCTCGTTAGTGTGATTATATTCTAATGCAGAAGACATAAACAAACTATTATTATACAGGGTTGGTACAGATACTGTAAAATGAAACTTTTACTTTTTTGGTTTTCAAGGACAACAATCTATGGAAGCTTGTTTTTCGCCACAGAATGAAAAATAAAAAAGGTAATTGCGACTTTTTATCTCACAATTGCGTGTTATAAAGTCAGAATTGCGAGATATAAAGTCGCAATTGCGTGTTATAAAGTCAGAGTTGTGAGAAATAAACTATTCGGCGGGGAAAAAAGTAGTCTTTTTTTCTTAGAATTGGCCTGATAAGTCGCAATTGCGAGTTTATATCTAACAATTCGGAGAAAAGTATAACTCGCAATTAAAACTCGAGACTTTATTTCTCGCAATTCTGACTTTATATCTCGCAATTCTGACTTTATATCTCGCAATTCTGACTTTATATCTCGCAATTCTGACTTTCTATCTTGCAATTCTGACTTTATATCTCGCAATTCTGACTTTATTTCTCGCAATTCTGACTTTATATCTCGCAATTCTGACTTTATATCTCGCAATTCTGACTTTATATCTCGCAATTCTGACTTTATATCTCGCAATTCTGACTTTATTTCTCGCAATTCTGACTTTATATCTCGCAATTCTGACTTTATATCTCGCAATTCTGACTTTATATCTCGCAATTCTGACTTTATATCTCGCAATTCTGACTTTATATCTCGCAATTCTGACTTTATATCTCGCAATTCCGACTTTATATCTCGCAATTCCGACTTTATATCTCGCAATTCCGACTTTATATCTCGCAATTCTGTCTTTATATCTCGCAATTCTGACTTTATATCTCGCAATTCCGACTTTATATCTCGCAATTCCGACTTTATATCTCGCAATTCCGACTTTAAATCTCGCAATTCTGACTTTATATCTCGCAATTCTGACTTTATATCACAATTCTGACTTTATTTCTCGCAATTCTGACTTTATATCACAATTCTGACTTTATATCTCGCAATTCCGACTTTATATCACAATTCTGACTTTATTTCTCGCAATTCTGACTTTATATCACAATTCTGACTTTATTTCTCGCAATTCTGACTTTATATCTCGCAATTCTGACTTTATAATTCGCAATTCTGACTTTATATCTCGCAATTCCGACTTTATATCTCGCAATTCTGACTTTATGTCACATAATTCTGACTTTATATCTCGCAATTGTGACTTTATATCTCGCAATTCCGACTTTATATCTCGCAATTCTGACTTTATATCTCGCAATTCTGACTTTATATCTTGCAATTCTGACTTTATATCTCGCAATTCTGACTTTATATCTCGTAATTCTGACTTTATATCTCGCAATTCTGACTTTATATCTCGCAATTCTGACTTTATATCTCGCAATTCTGACTTTATATCTCGCAATTCTGACTTTATATCTCGCAATTCTGACTTTATATCTCGCAATTCTGACTTTATATCTCGCAATTCTGACTTTATATCTCGCAATTCTGACTTTATATCTCGTAATTCTGACTTTATATCTCGCAATTCTTACTTTATATCTCGCAATTCTGTCTTTATATCTCGCAATTCTGACTTTATATCTCGTAATTCTGACTTTATATCTCGCAATTCTGACTTTATATCTCGCAATTCTGACTTTATATCTCGCAATTCTGACTTTATATCTCGCAATTCCGACTTTATATCTCGCAATTCTGACTTTATATCTCGCAATTCTGACTTTATATCTTGCAATTCTGACTTTAGATCTCGCAATTCTTACTTTATATCTCGCAATTCTGACTTTATATCACGCAATTCTGACTTTATATCTCGCAATTCTGACTTTATATCTCGCAATTCTGACTTTATATCTCGCAATTCTGACTTTATATCTCGTAATTCTGACTTTATATCTCGCAATTCTTACTTTATATCTCGCAATTCTTACTTTATATCTCGCAATTCTGACTTTATATCTCGCAATTCTGACTTTATATCTCGTAATTCTGACTTTATATCTCGCAATTCTTACTTTATATCTCGCAATTCTGACTTTATATCTCGCAATTCTGACTTTATATCTCGCAATTCTGACTTTTTATCACGCAATTCCGACTTTATATCTCGCAATTCTGACTTTATATCACGCAATTCTGACTTTATATATCTCGCAATTCTGACTTTATATCACGCAATTCTGACTTTATATCTCGCAATTCTGACTTTATATCTCGCAATTGTGACTTTATATCTCGCAATTCTGACTTTATATCTCGCAATTCTGACTTTATATCTCGCAATTGTGACTTTATATCTCACAATTGTGACTTTATATCTCGCAATTCTGACTTTATATCTCGCAATTCTGACTTTATATCACGCAATTCTGACTTTAAATCACACAATTCCGACTTTATTTCTCGCAATTCCGACTTTATTTCTCGCAATTCCGACTTTATTTCTCGCAATTCCGACTTTATTTCTCGTAATTCTGACTTTATTTCTCACAATTCCGACTTTATATCACGCAATTCTAACTTTATATCTCGTAATTCTGACTTTATAACTCGCAATTCTGACTTTATATCTCACAATTCTGACTTTATTTCTCGCAATTCTGACTTTATATCTCGCAATTCTGACTTTATATCTCGCAATTCAGACTTTATATCTCGCAATTCCGACTTTATATCTCGCAATTCCGACTTTATATCTCGCAATTCCGACTTTATATCACACAATTCCGACTTTATATCTCGCAATTCTGACTTTCTATCTCGCCATTCCGACTTTATATCTCGCAATTCTGACTTTATATCTCGCAATTCTGACTTTATATCTCGTAATTCTGACTTTATATCTCGCAATTCTGACTTTATATCTCACAATTCTGAGAAAAGTATAACTCGCAATTAAAACTCAAGACTTTATATCTCGCAATTCTGACTTTATATCACACAATTCTGACTTTATATCACAATTCTGACTTTATATCTCGCAATTCTGACTTCATAACACGCAATTGCGACTTTATATTTGACAACTGCAACTTTATTTCTCACAATTCTGAGCAATATCACGCTCATAAGCATGCTAAATAGCTCTACATCAATATCAGATGAGTGTGAAAAGATTGTTTTATCAATCAAATTAAACATTATTTTCTAATATTGCCAGAAATATGTCTGTTTTCAAAAGTTTTTCAAGACAAAAAGTCAAATTCAAGCACTTTAACAACTTCTATGAACCCTGTCATAATAATAATGCCCCGGCGAAAATACATCTAGATTTCTGGTGCCGTGACCCTGGCTGGCAGTTTTTATTTGTTGACTTGGCGTGTCTGAATAAATCCTCCTGTAGTAAACATGGCAATGTTTGTGAAGGGCTGCTGTGTTTACAGGGTGATGAACCGCATCCGTACACAAAGTCAGATGACGGTCATGCTTTAAGTTAATGAATCCGCAACACACTCCTGATTTCAGCTTCTTCAGTCCGCTAATGAACACAGGGAAGTGCAAAGTCTCCACAGGAAGCCCACAGTCACACGCTGTCTTCAAAGAGAGACTTGAGAAGGGAAATAATGTAATAAATGTGGAAACCATGAACTGTGAGACGCTCAATCAGCACCTCAAGCAACAAAACTAATCAAATCAATGAAGGGGTGTATATTAAAAACATGTTTATTGATTATAATTCGAGCGGTCTGGTTGTGTAGCATCAGTTGCATTGACATGAGAACAGGTGCATGATGGGGAGATTCCTATTAACTTGCATTCAAGCAAGCGAATGTGCTAAAAACATTATTTTGCTGGCAAGAAATATTCCTAATCAATAATAATATCATAGCTCACTTTTCATTGTCCAATTAACCCTCCCAATGGATTCAGGCCATTTTGACCCGGAAAAATGTAAACAATGGAAAAAATATCCATATTTGTGCAGTTTCCCAGTAAAAACATAGATTTACCTGATGAGCAATTAGCATATGATAAAAATATGATATAATATCATATCATAAAAATATGATATTATAATATGCTAACTTATTATAATTATCATTTCTTACTCAATAGTTTTTTTAAAGCATAAATCTAACAAAAATATCAAATTAATGACAAGGAGAAAAATGTCAGAATATCAAAATAAACATTTATTCAGGTTTTTAAAATTATTTAAAAAATAAATAAAACCATTTAAAAAAAACGTGCCTTCTAGATCATTATGCGGTTTTCACAAAGTTTATGACTTTTTTACTATACATCTATAAAGTTACAGTAGATTAGTCTCAAAAATACTTTTGTATATTTAATATATTTAGCCTCTTTCTGATATCACTTATCACACACAAAATTGATCTTTCGGTTTATGCAAGTAAAATGTATAAATCCAGAATAATATTGATGTTAGGTTAAAAAATGAATATGTATAGACTTTGTAACAAAATGCTGTTTAATCTAGTTAGTAAATTAGTAAATTAGTGACTTTTAAATCTCTTCTCAAAACATTTAATTTTTGTTTTCTTTTACTTGATTACTCATTTTATTTGTTAATTTTGTATTTAAAGTGTGTAGTTTTCTCCGTTGTTATGTTTGCCTGTAAAGCGCTACATTTAAAAGCACTCCATTAAATAAATGTATTACTAATGCTAAGAAGTTTTTAATACAATGTGACGTTTGAAGGTTAAAGTTGTGCGCACTTTGTGAGGGTTAATCCTCATGGATATGATCAAGCACTCTTCTTAATAATGTTTCACATGTCAGATCAGTGTGTGTGTGTGTGTGTTGTGCTTCGTCACCTGCTCTGGCTGGTTGGCGTTGGCCAGTGGCGTGACCATCCATATGATGTAGAGGTTATTGAGCGCAGCGCTCGTGGAGAAGGTGCAGGGCAGGACGGCGGCTTGACCTCGGGCCACCTGAACACTGCTCTGGCTCACCGTCACTTCCAGCGCACGCACACACACTGCAGGAGGAACACACACCACCAGTCAGAATACTGTAACACACAGCAGACACAAGACACACTCTGCTTGTGTGTGCATCTTTCTTTAGTGTGTGATGTGCAGTTGCATGAAAAAGTTATTCTCTATGCAATTATTCCGCTTATAATACAGTTACCACACCTCAAAACATTGTTCAGATGATGCATTTCAAGACGCTTGTGTTAAAAATACTCCATAATAGTTTTTCTTTAAATGCAGAGTTTATAGGGCTGTAGTCAACCAAAGAAATCCTTAGTCGACCAAGGTCTTGTCCTGTGCAACGATTAGTCGACTAAAAAAAAAAAAAACCCGGATGTTTTGATTGAACATTTTTTAGACAATTGTGAGAGCATTTATAAAACAACAGCGAAAAAACATCAAAAATAAATAAAACTATAATAATAATTAAATTCTTTGAAAATTAAGTGATTTTTTTTTACTGCATAAAGTGAGGAGCTCTGTCCTCGGTCTATTAACAGTCACAATCGCGCACCTGATCACACCAAACACTGCAAAAAATATAACTGCTATCGGCCACATAATGAAAAATCTTAACAAAAGCTCTCGTTTATACAGGCTTTATATTCTTCTTTACTTACAAAGCTATGGGTTAACTTTCGTCCTGACGATCTAGCCATCTAGGCGTTTTAAAACACACAAAAAAACAAAATAGCCTTAAAATCAATCTGAAATAGGCTGTGTTGTAAGAAGGCATATAGGTTTATTTTCGTTTTGTTACATTATTTCGGCTATTTTCAAATGCGTCAAGTGTACAAATAAAAACGAAAACATATTTAGAAAACACAATCTGTGTCAGCATGATATAGCCGTTAAAAGGGCTGCTCACGTCTTTTGCGCGCTCAAGATCGATTTCAAATGTAGGCGCGCGATGTTAGCGCTCATAATATAGCAACGCGATCGCGGTCGCCTACCTCCACAAAAATGTAGCCAGACAAAAGATTTGGATTTCTTGGACATTTTGTCGACTAAACAAGTAGCGTGACCTGAATGAATACAGCAAACCAACCGGTATATCCCTTACTGAGCGCGAGCAGCAGCGCAGCCAGACACAGGTGCGGTTTCCGAGTGTATTATGTGTGTGCGCTAAACTGTGGCGCAGTTACAAAAAATAGCCTAAATTAAAGCATTTAAAGTTGGGGATAAAACATAGGCTAATAATATTTAGAATACAGTAATAAATAACTGCTTTGTAAAGAAATAAATATCAAGGAGTAAATCATTGAAAATGTATTTCTATTGAAAAAAAAAAAATGCGACTGGTCGACCAATAAGAATGTCAGTCGACCAAGACCGCATCGACTGATTAGTCAACTAAAGTTGACAGCCCTAAGAGTTTGAAATAATGAATCTGAACTCCTGAAACGCCTCAGTGTTAAGTTTCTTCCGGGAACGAACACGTCACAATATTCCTCATTATAATAATTAATGCACAGAATAAAGGGGCGGGGCCTGGTTGAGGTAGTTAGTAGTGTGTTAAACTGGCGGTTATGATAAGAGCGGGACATTTCCCAAACACACTCGGCCAATCACAACACACTGATCCAGCCGACCAATCAGAGCACAGTGAGCTTTTCAGAAAGCGGGGCTTCATAGAGACAGGAAGTAAACAGAGCGTTACTGACAGACTGGGAAGAGAGGAGCCGCAACAATGGAGAATATGAGGAGAATAATCAACATGTCCTAGTAGAGCACAAAAACAACATCAAGACTTTATATTGCCTCTTTAAGATTTTCAGCATATTAATCATAGATATGAAACGCATACAAAACCGTTTCAATTCACAAAAATCAAAAAACAGTGATTCAACCTTGATTTATGACACTGAATCAGCGTGTAAATGCCAGATGGGTAAAAAAAGAAGTCACATCCTGTTTTGATGGCGTGATTAGGTCAAACACAATCAAATGATACACAACCATGGCTTACGTTTGCATGAGCTAAGCACATTAAACGTCTTAAACTGGGTTACATCCTCGAGGTCTGTGGGTGTTATGTGAACTCGTGCTCATTATGACCTGCAATCAAAATATATCATCTATAAAAAGATGATTTTACCAGGTGTGTATTTAATGCTATTTATGGAGATATTGTTTGTTTTAAAAAGAACATCCTCATATCGGATTAGCATCTGAACGAACAGCACAATGCCTCTAATTGAGGGGAGAGGAACAGGCTCATGTTTCCAAAGCCTCGTTAACACAATATCACATGATTATCATCCGGCCAATCACGTGGGAAGAAGACAGAGCCTCACCAGCTGCACAATAGATGAAGTCGACTGTACTAGTGTACTACAAACTGCACAGTATACACTGAAAAATCACTATTCCATGGTAATCATTGAAACGCCCACAACTTTGCAAACTGCAAACAGTTGCATGCTTTTTTTAATGTTAAATGTAGTCGAAAGAAAATAGGCGCTATATAGATGTTTAATTCAGTGAGAGTTAAATTATCACCTTTGGAATAAAAATTATAACTGCAAAATTAAGTGCAAAAAAGCATTCACTGTATTTTCGTAGTCTGAGTCAAAAACTGATTTTTAAATTGTAGCTGATATTGCTTAGTTTATTTGTCACAATGGAAATGGAAGGTCACACATCAAGTGCATTGCACTGTGGGATACGGTATCTCACATAGTAATCAGTTGTAAACTGCATATGTTGGCAAACATACAGTAGTATGTCATCTGGGTATCGATTTCGTGCATATAGAAAATGTGCATACTGAAAATGTGCATACTGAAAATGTGCATACTGAAAATGTGCATACAGAAAATATGCACACAGAAAATGTGCACACAGAAAATGTGCATACTGAAAATGTGCATACAGAAAATGTGCATACTGAAAATGTGCATATAGAAAATGTGCACACAGAAAATGTGCACACAGAAAATGTGCATACTGAAAGTGTGCATACTGAAAATGTGCATACTGAAAATGCGCTTACTGAAAATGTGCATACAGAAAATATGCACACAGAAAATGTGCACACAGAAAATGTGCATACTGAAAATGTGCACATAGAAAATGTGCACACAGAAAATGTGCATACTGAAAATACACTTACTGAAAATGTGCATATAGAAAATGTGCATACTGAAAATACACTTACTGAAAATGTGCATATAGAAAATGTGCATACTGACAATGTGCATAATGAAAATGTGCACGCAGAAAATGTGCATACTGACAATGTGCACCAATAAAATGTGCACAAAAAATGTGCATACTCAAAATGTGCACCAATAAAATGTGCACACAGAAAATGTGCATACTGAAAATGTGCACACAGAAAATGTGCATACTGAAAATACACTTACTGAAAATGTGCATACTGAAAATATGCATAATGAAAATGTGCACACAGAAAATGTACATACTGAAAATGTGCACCAGTAAAATGTGCATACTCAAAATGTGCACCAATAAAATGTGCACACAGAAAATGTGCATACTCAAAATGTGCACACAGAAAATGTGCACAAAAAATGTGCATTCTGAAAATGTGCACAAAGAAATGCACATACTGAAAATGTGCACATTTAAACTGGCTTTACAGAAAATGCATACAGGAAATGTGCAAAGTGCACACAATATGCATACTGCATACTTCAGAAACATTATTTTCCATAAATAGCCATCGTGATATTCAAATTTTTTCACCAGTGTCCCAACACAGTAACAAAACCAAGTGTGTGTGTGTGTTTCTACCTGACTTCTCCAGAGAAAAGCCCAATCCATCTCTCGGTGGGCCGCCGAGAGGAAAAGAGCGCTCCGACACCTTTTTAGTGTGTTTCTGTATTTATGTCTCCATCGCTCGGCTTTAATTGGGAAAGTCACCTCGGCCACTGGCAAGGGTTTGAGAGAGAACAGCCGCTCCACTCCTTCATTCTACAAACGTCAACATTTGCGTTCATTAATGCAAGAGAAGCTTACTCTAGAGAGAAAGGAAGGAGGTAAAGAGGTGGATCCATCTATCCATCTCATTCTTCTGGGCTCTGAAAGGCCCCTGGCAAACACACACACACACACACACACAGAGTGGCTGATCTCGTGTCTCTTTTTCAATGCATAAATGTGTTACAGTGAACAAACCACAAAGCACTTGGTAACGCTTTAAACACACTTGCTGAAAAATATAACATCAAATACAATATAACATAAAATAAGAATAAATATAAATAAAATGTCAAATAGATTAAGATATGAAATAAGAGTTATTACAATGTATAGAATATAAAAAAACAATACTTAAATAAATGTGAAATAGAAAAAAATAAGATATAAAATAAGAGTTGATATAAATAAATATGAAATAAGAAAAATGTGAAATAGAATAAACAATTTACAATTACAAAATAAGTATAAATAAAATATAAATTAACAATACATAAAACATAAATAAAACAAAATAGAGTCGATATAAATAAAACAAAATAAGAATATATATGTATAATGTAAAATAGAATAAATAAAATATAAGAGTTAATATAAATAAAATATTAAATAAGACTATATGAAGAGTTCAGATGCAAAAGCCTCTAAGTGCAATTTTAAATTTTCTTCTAGAATGATCATTTTATCAAGCTTGTATATTAAAGTTCAGTAATTTCACTTAAATTGCAAGGAAGATTGCCTATTAATTGTCATTTAAGTTAAATTACTGAACTTTAACATACAACCATTTATTGTAAATTCCATTAATATATATATATATATATATATATATATATGGAATAAATGAGACGTAAAATAAGAATAAATATAAATAGGATATAAAATTAGAATAAATGCTTTGATCATTCATCATCATGTGTGTATTCCACCTGTGATTATATTAGTTTCATAAATAATGTGAGATTTGACGGGCCATTTATTACTGTGATACACAGAGCTTTTCATCTGCATTCATTATTACAGCCCAATAATCCACTAAATGATGATCATTTAATTC